CTGGAAGGATTGATTGGTGTGGATGCGGACGGAGATGAATTCAAAGCTATGGAGAAAGAATTGGCGGATAAAGGGGCGGAGGAGAGGGCGAAGTATCAGGAGCAGTTCGAGAGGAAGGGGGAGAAAGACAAGAAAGCGTTGGAAAAGGGACAGAAAAAGTTGCAGTTCGGGAAGACGAAGACGGAGAAAGCGATCAAAAACGGGAGTGATAGCGAAGCTTGAGGACTAACGTTGTGGAACGATCGCTACTCCATACCTGAGAGCTTACTCGTAAGGACGTCCAAACTCAAGCAATAGAAGGGGTTGCTTCCGCTGTTTTGTGCTCATGGCTGGATCAGTCGATGGCCTTCTGGTGCTCCAACAACTCTAGGTTTGCTTCCTTACCAAGCCTTCGCAAAGGAAAAGGCCGAGACGTTAAACTTCAATCGCGCTGCAACGTAAATGATAGAAATTGGAACCGGCGAAGAAGTATCTTTCAATGAAACCTTAAAGTCTTCGGTCGCTTCTACATACATCGGTCTTAGGGTTGAGGGGTATCTCACGTATCTCACTCCTCGGTATCCAGCCGGTGCTGGCCTCCATCGCTGAACAAGCGACCTCTCGTCTTTGGTGATTAGTCTGTAGACTACCACTGCGACGAAGCCGCCCAGGAAAAGCTCAGGCCAAAACATCCCGTCTGGCCTCACTCGATGATTCTCCTACCCCAGCACCTTTAGACCACCTTTCGTCTTGCTCTGCTTCTTCTGGACACCAGCCCCAGTCCCACCCTTCCCACCTCCTCCACCTCCTTTCCCTCCCTTCCCACTCTTCCTCTTGTCCTGCGGTACCGTCGGCCTAATCTCCGTGGTGCTCTTCCTCAAAAGCACAGGATGACTTCCAATATATTTTCCTTGCATATCTCTCGCTGACTGAAAATATTCCTCCCCGTCCACGAAACTCACAAAACCGTATCCCTTGCTCTTCGTCGTCCGCTTGTCCCTCACTACCCTCGCTTTCTGCACGGAAGGATACTTTGAGAACGCTTTGAGGAGAGACTCGTCCGTAACTTCACCAGCAAGATTTCCAACGAACAAACGAAAATGTGCAGGGTCCCACTCGAGTAGCGATGGATCCTGCCACGTCTGTCCACCACCGCTACGCACGACCGTTTTCTGCTTGCCGTCTGCGCCTGTGACAACGGCAGCCACGCCAGTATCAGCATTGGCCGCGGAACTCATGGCCGAATTACTCATCGAGGCACCTGCAACATCCTGTCGTACGCCCAGCGGAGCTGTGTTGGCACCGGTCGAAGAAGCACCACCTTCACCTCCGGTAGCGAATCTGTTGAATGACCGACCAGCAGTGCGGCTGCCGTCTGCATCCTTGCCCGCGTACGCACTTTGCCACTGCGCTATTTGCGCTTCCATTTCTGGGTCTATCTCCTGGCCCTGCCCGGCGGCTCCGCCTCGCCCGACACCACCTTGACCAGGAAGGGGAAAAGGATTTCGTATTTGAGGTGGTGTGGGCTCGACATATGGCTCTTCGAAGGTGTGCTTTTGATAAAATGATGGTGTCGGCGGTTGTTGGTAGGACGGTTTTGCTTGGTATGCACCGTTGGAGTAGGTCGTTTGAGGGGCAGAGAAGCCTGTTGGCGGTGCAGGAGGTGCTGAGACCACAGGGCTATGCGTGCGGAACGGTTGACTATTCGCAGCTAGGGAACGTGGTTGGAATCCTGTGAAGCCTCCGAAGCCACTCGCGGGCTGATTCCCTCCTGTGTTGTTTGAAGTGCCATTGTAGCCGCGGGTTCCTGGGGCGGAGGAGAATGTTGGGGTGGAGGAGGTAGTAGAGTTGAAGGACGGGAGTGGACCAGCTGACGGTGGCGGTCGCGGGGGCAGCGAGGCGTGAGCTGGAGAGGTCGTGGATGAAGAAGAGGTTTGTGGTAAGTTCAAACCTGGAGGTGGCGGATATGACATGATGAACGGCTGTGCTGTAAAACCTTGGAGTTGGGTGTGATGAATTGGGTACGTACCTCTCGCGCCTAGAGACGCTGCAGCGGCCGAGGTAGGTCAGATACGGGGTTTATTAGGGGTCGTTGAATGGCGCGCGAACAGTAGAGTAGTCTAAGGTAAGCAAGGAAGCAAGGAAAATAGGAAAATAGGAAAAGTAGAGTTGGATGCAGTCTGCCACGGTAGAGAGTTGTACAAGTAGCGATTATGGGAAGGGAGGAAGGGTTGGGTGAATTGTATGATGCTTGGTGATCAGATGTGTACTTAAAGTAAGGTATTGGTGATACTGGTGCAGGTTTAGCCGACGGGTCAGGGTATGGTACTTTATTCACTATTCACCGATTGGTCTTAGTGACACGTGCAAGGATAAAGTACTTTAGTGCGGTTGATTCTCCCCTCCCCACCAAATGAGGGTTTTCTTTCTTTCTCACCTTATGTCACAGTTCGTTCTCTACTTCTCGATGCGTTGAAGAGAACAACTTGAAAACCCACCTCAATTTTCAACCCTCAAATAATATACAACACCTACAAACTCGACAATCCTTCGAACCTCCAAGATGACGGACAAAGCAATGTAAGTTGACCTTGTACTCTCAATCCTTCTTCATCCGGCCTGCCCCGCTTCAAACCAACATACGTACCACTAGAGTACTTGCTCTTTAACACTCGATCCTTGGAGATACACCAGTCATGACAGTCTCTCGCAACGCTGAACCATGTTGATGAGAATTCTGGGCTGACTGTAGCGCCCGTCTGGCCGGCATCAATGTCGGCGGACCTGCGCCCATCACTCCCAGTGGTGATTTCGGCCTCATCGGTCTGGCCGTTATGGGTCAAAACCTCCTCCTGAATGTTGCCGATCATAAGGAATTCAACGTCGTGGCTTTCAATCGTACCGTGGCCAAGGTCGATCGATTTATGGACAATGAGGCAAAAGGTTTGTCAATGTCCATGCGCCCCCCTCCCAACAAGTGGAGAAAGGAAGGCATTGCTAATGCCGCTGCAAAGATTATAAAAACATCGAGGGAGCTCATTCCATGGAAGAGTTCGTGCTGAAGCTCAAGAAACCCCGTCGCATCATGCTTCTTGTCATGGCCGGCAAGCCAGTTGATGACTTCATAACCGCTCTACTACCTTTTGTCGAAAAGGGTGATATCATTATCGACGGCGGGAACTCTCACTTTCCTGACACCAATCGCCGAACACGATCATTAGCCGAGAAGGGTATTCGATTCGTTGGCACGGGTGTGTCTGGTGGCGAAGAAGGTGCTCGTTACGGGCCCAGTCTTATGCCTGGTGGCAATGAGGAAGCATGGCCCTATATCAAGGATATATTTCAATCCATTTCTGCCAAGAGTGACGGTGAGCCTTGTTGTGACTGGGTAGGCGACCAGGGTGCTGGTCATTATGTCAAGATGGTCCACAACGGCATCGAATACGGAGACATGCAACTGATTTGCGAGGTATAATGACCCGACATCGATTGTTCGCCTCTGGTAAGCTTACGCGAAGTATAGGCATACGACATCATGAAGCGCGGCTTGGGCCTCTCTGCGAAAGAGATGGCGGATGTGTTTGCGGAATGGAACAAAGGTGTCCTCGATTCTTTCCTCATTGAGATAACCCGTGACGTTCTCCGATTTGACGATGACGACGGTACACCATTGGTGGAAAAGATTCTGGATTCCGCGGGCCAGAAGGGTACAGGCAAATGGACAGCAATCAACGCTTTGGACCTTGGTATGCCCGTGACCTTGATTGGCGAGGCTGTCTTCGCAAGGTGCCTGAGCTCTCTCAAGCAAGAGCGTGGCCGTGCGGCAGGAGTACTTGCCGGCCCGACGCCTAAATTCGATGGAGACAAGAAAAAGTTCCTCGCCGACCTCGAGCAAGCTTTGTACGCCTCGAAGATCATCTCCTATGCTCAAGGTTTCATGTTGATACAGAACGTACGTCTTTTCCGTCTCTTGTACAGCACCCCGGTAGCTGCGATACTCACCTCAAGTGTAGGCTGCCAAAGAATACAAGTGGAAGCTCAACAAACCTTCAATTGCACTTATGTGGCGTGGTGGCTGCATTATCCGATCAGTGTTCTTGAAGGACATTACTTCTGCATACCGTAAGAACCCAGACCTTGAGAACTTGTTATTCGACGACTTCTTCAACAAAGCCATCCACAAGGCTCAAGACGGCTGGAGGGACATTGTCAGCAAGGGCGCGTTGTGGGGTATACCTACACCCGCTTTCAGCACTGCTCTTAGCTGGTATGATGGGTACCGCACGAAGGACCTCCCAGCAAATCTTTTGCAGGCGCAGAGAGATTACTTTGGTGCCCACACATTCAGGATCAAGCCCGACCATGCCAGCGAGAAGTATCCTGAAGGTAAGGATAACCACGTCAATTGGACCGGCAGAGGCGGCGATGTGTCGGCGTCCACCTACCAAGCATAGGGTACCTTCAATTCACCATCATCATGGTACAAGTCATTATTGACGAAAGAAAATGGAAGAGAGGCCTGCTTCCTCACAGTATGCACATGGATGCTCTTACTTAGACCAGAACACAAATGCATCTGTAAAAGCCGTGAATGACGAAAGACATGAACTCGTCTATCCACTTCCTAACATTCAACACAATGATCTTACCAATAAACCGATACCTGAAAATTGAGCACTGTGAATGTTGGATCCTTGGATCCTGCCAACCACCTCTAAACCCTTATAGAGATATCGTCACACATTGTAATAACAATGTCTTTGTCTTCATACTAAACATACTCAATTCAATCTACACTGTAATTTATTCCTCAGATGAAGTTATTGGAAAGCGTTGAAAATGTAATTATTTCTAGATGTTCCACCAAGCCTCAGAATAGTCTTAAAAATAGTCTAAGACCGAGGTTTCTGGATGTGGGGGCAAGTCGTAGGATAGATGAGACTGGGTATCTTCAGGATAGGACCTGTATACGTGAACTACGTGGTGGTAGCTCTACACGGGGTTTATAGGTAATTGATAGCTCTGCGTGCGATTATCTCCGCGTGCCAAGAGTTGCAGATCTTTGTGCACACGCTAATTGCCTTGCCCTACATAGCCACTGGCTACTCGTGCCACTCTGACCTGCCATTGGACGATACTGCCTATATATGCAAAGACAACAGAGCCGTACAGAACTATCGGGCTTCTCAACATCATTCGCTGTGTCAACCAGGACACCGGTGAGAGTCCCTTAATTGAGAGCGAGGAAGGCTATGCTACTGTAGCTCGTGCTCCTAAGAGCGCTCGACGGATGGACCTCTATGGACCCCGATAAGGAAACCCAAGGCGAGGAAGAAGAGCAAGCAGGATACCATCATCCGACAGAACACGTCTCCAGATTATCCGACAAGGCAACGTCGTCACCCAGATCAAGTATAGACAACCAAGATTCCGCCGCTGATACGGACGTTGATGCTAACCTGCTTTCCTCTGACATGGACGGTGCTGGAGATGGATATCGGCGACGCAGGGCTCAATTAATGGACGGACTGGAGAATGGGAGTGCGAGGAGGAAAAGTTCCAGCAAGAAGCATGTTCATCGCCATCGAAAGGCTTCAGGAGCCCCTGACGAAGGAAACAAGCAATCGGTGTACTCCTCAGATGAGGGCCATGGCTCGGATTTCTCTTCTAGAACCACAAGCGAAGACTTTGAACTCGACCATCTGACTGGGGAAGATCCTTTCAGTGATGACGCCGAGACGGGTATGACGAAGAAAGATAAAAAGCATAGGAAGAGAACGCGAAGGAAGGCCGTAAGGATGGACGAGAGATTTGCTAGTAACGTCAAGACGTCGAAGCCGAATAAGATACTCACAAACAGCGAGTTATATAAGGCGTGGCTTATCAACGCTCTGCTCGTAGCTTCGTGGTACGCCTTCTCGCTTTCAATCTCTATCGTAAGTGAAGACATAGAGCTCCTCCAACCCCATCTTTGCTGACTGCTTCCTAGTATAACAAATGGATGTTTTCGGAAAAGTACCTGGATTTCCATTTTCCTCTCTTCACTACCTGTCTGCATATGCTCGTCCAATTCTGCCTAGCCAGCCTCGTCCTGTGGTTCGTTCCACGACTCCGACCTCGAACCGATAGCATATCGAATCCTCAAAACCACTATCATGTCCGACGTCAGGATCCGTCACAGACGGAGAAGCCTCTTATGACCAAGATATTCTATTTCACCCGGGTGGGTCCTTGCGGAGCCGCTACAGGCCTTGATATTGGGCTGGGCAACATGAGCCTGAAGTTCATTACTCTCACTTTCTACAGTATGTTTGTCAAGGGCCACTGCTACATCTACGCTGACAACTCACCTCTTAGCAATGTGCAAGTCCTCTTCTCTAGCCTTCGTTCTCGCCTTCGCCTTCCTCTTCCGCCTCGAAGACCCTTCCATCAAACTGGTCTTTATCATCACTACAATGACAATAGGCGTCATTATGATGGTGGCCGGTGAAACGGCTTTTAACGTTCTCGGCTTCATCCTTGTTATCTTAGCTGCTTTCTTCTCGGGCTTTCGCTGGGCGCTCACTCAAATTCTGTTGCTCAAAAATCCCGCGACGAGCAATCCTTTCAGCAGTATCTTCTTCCTCGCACCTGTCATGTTCGTTAGCTTGGCCGTCATAGCCATTCCTGTCGAGGGCTTCGTGGACCTTGCCCATGGCCTGAAGGCTCTTGTCGATGCCAAGGGTGTCTTTTTGGGAGTCTGCATTTTGATCTTCCCGGGCTGCCTTGCGTTCATGATGACCGCGTCCGAATTTGCGCTTCTTCAGCGAACCTCGGTCGTCACGCTCAGCATCTGCGGTATCTTCAAGGAAGTTGTCACCATCGCCGCTGCAGGCATCGTCTTCAAGGATCCATTGACTCCAATCAATATAAGCGGACTGGTGGTTACCATTCTTAGTATAGGTGCCTATAACTATATTAAGATCGCGAAGATGAGAAAAGATGCTAAGAAGGACGTCGCAAGGGAGCCAAAATCCATCGACGATGAGGATGGAGACGGAAGTGCGACGGAGCCCATGCTTGCGCCGCCTCAAGCAATCAGGCGAGACAGACTGTCTGCAGATGCACCTAGCGGCAGGGTCCGAGCTGAATCGAACGCTGGATCGATCAAGAGCTTACGTGAGAATGAGTGACGGCACGAGGAATGGATCTGATAGGAAAGGCGTTGGCTGTTCTTCACGACTATCTGGATGCTGCTTCGCAGGACATTTTGGGAAGGTCTGGGAATGTAGGGTACTGTGGCAGTCCCTTTCGATACCATAAGCGCAGCATATTCTATTGGAGTATTTTCAAAGGGTGGAAATTGGGCTGGAAATGCTTTGTCGAGGAGAAACTTAGTGGATATCTTCTTAATACACAACACCCTTGGTTCATTGTGGAGAACCTCAGGTCAAGTATGCACACCTCAAATTCCATGCACAAGCATTATTGATGCCCCTCTAGCGTGTCCTTGCCTGTCTGACTCCCATCGTCCCAAAACTCAAGGTCTCCCTTCCCGCCTAACGTTCCTCTCTTCACTAGTTGGCCCTTCTGCCTCATCAAATCCTCGATGGTAAATGGTTGGTCCCCAAAGATCTGTTATAATGTTTTGTCAGTCTTCATCGCCTTTCGCCTTTGCATATTCGCATCCACCAGGCAGAGGCTTTGAAACGTTACCTTCAGATGATCACTAATGACATGCCGATTCGAACACTCGGGGCATGTGATCAAAACCGTCCCCTTATGGTACCCTTGCTTCGAAATGGTATGCGTAGAGCGGTGCTTGCATGGTTTACATGTAAAGGTGAGCTCATAAGCGGGGGGTTTCTCCAGGGGGGTTTGGGTGTTGCTAGGGTAGTTCGGGGAGTGCGCGACCGCTGACGAAGGAGCGGACGTGGAGTCAGAGACTCGACGGGTCTGACAATTGCGAAGTGCAAAGGAAGGTTGTGCGATGCGGTGTTTGGGCGTACACGATGGACGCGGAAAGCTGGGATGGCGGAGTGGCGCAAATTGGGAGAGGGGGCGGAGATGTGAGTTTGCGGAGTGTGGCTGGTGCAGGGATGGTCTAAGCTGCCGAAATATAATGCTGAGGATTTGGTCTGCTTTCATCATGCTTTTTTGTCCAGACGTGGATATGTAAGTGTTTTTAGACAGCTGAGATGGGAAATGAGGGAGAAATTATCACTACTTTCATACAAAGCCGCTGAAAACGTCAGATTCTCTAACCGTCCGGTTGAACTTCGGGATCTACAGTGGGGATGCATCCAGGAACCAGCGTACCATTCATTGCCTCCAATGATCTGACGATTGCCTTGTGCACTCAAGTTGACCCTCTACCACCATCTGGTGTCTCATGAATCGACGCTCCCTTTACCAAAGACCTAATATTTCTTTGCAAGTCTTTCTCCTCAGCCGCCGCGAAAGCTTTCTGGATTCATGTCGGCTCCACTTCTCCTCAAGAAGCACACACAATAGGAAACGCGGGTTGAGTGGTACTCCTAAGCATTTTATACCTTTACCATGATTGCTGGAAGGGGGAGAAGGATACGCCCCCCAAGACGGGTAAGTCAAGTGAAGAGTGAAGGTTTAACGGAATCACTTCTGCACATATCAACACATCAACACCCACTTCAATGTTGACTTCTTGACACACAACCTCGATCCAGCGTTTATTGACATGTTTTCCTTGTTCCACTTACATCTTACTCCATCTTCCTATCACCGTGGTGGCAATGAAGGCTAAGATTATCCACCCGCAGGGCCTGGGTACTAGCGATGCAGTTGACTTTGACTCGATGTGGGATGTCTTAGCCTCCTCACTTCGAGAAATACACACCAAGAACGCCTCTAAGCTGTCGTTCGAGGAGCTCTACCGCAACGCCTACAAGCTTGTGCTCAAGAAGCGGGGTGAGACCCTTTACATCAGGGTGAAGGAGTTCGAAGCAGAATGGCTCGCAAACGAGGTGCAACCAAGGATCATAGAAGAGCTCTCCCAGACCCTCCTCCTCGCAACATCTGGAACACAAATGATTGCCACAGCCAATGAGAAAAGAGTTGCAGGAGAGAAGTTACTGAGAGCTCTGAAGCAAGCATGGGAGGATCACAATCTTTGCATGAATATGACTACTGATGTCCTGATGTATATGGTGCGCCGCCTCTGGAGCCTTAAAGGAGGCCGTGAAACGAGGATTGTGTGACTGACTAGTAGGCAGGATCGTGTTTACTGTAAAGATTTTCGGAAACCGTCGATATTCTCTGCCTCCATGGGGCAGTTTCGCGATCACGTACTGAGAACTCCTCTCTCTGACAACCCTGATGACCAAATTAGCATTGCCCATATCCTCAATGCCGTTATGTTGGATCAAGTGCAAATGGATCGAGAAGGCGATATAGTCGACAAATCACTCCTGAAATCCTGTGCCTACATGCTAGAGGGTCTTTACGAAACAGAAGATGAGGATGAGTCTACTAAGCTGTACCTCACAAGCTTCGAGCCTGAATTCCTAAGAGCGAGCGAAGAATTCTACCGCCTAGAAGGCGCCAAACTATTATTAGAAGCAGATGCCGGGACGTTCTGTAAAGATGCTAGGAAACGAGTCAACGAAGAAGAGGACCGATGCAGATCGACTCTGTCTCCATTGACCTTGACGAAGGTCAAAAGCGTGGTCGAAACTGAGCTCATCAAGAAAAATCTCCCGGAAGTAATAGCGCTTGAGGCCAGTGGCGTCAAGTACATGCTGGACAATGAGCGGCTCTTGGAGCTTGAGTTAATATACGAGTTGAGCGCAAGGGTCGATCCGAAGAAAGAGGAGCTGAGGAAGGCCGTTCAGGCTCGCATTCTAGAGATGGGAAACGATGTGAACAAAGCTACCGCTGCTGCAACGCATACTCTACCAAAACCCTCGGACCAAGACGGCGACAAAGCTGAGGGGGAGGAAAAGGCATCAGAAAAGCCAGTAAGCCAGCAAACCACAGCAGCCATCAAATGGGTCGATGATGTTTTGCAGCTGAAAGAGAGATACGACCACGTGCTCACCGAAGCTTTCAAGTCAGATCAAGGTTTACAAACTGCTTTCTCGCGCAGCTTTACGGACTTCATAAACGCCTTTGAGAGAAGCTCTGAGTATCTCTCACTCTTCTTCGACGAAAACATGAAGAAGGGCATCAAGGGTAAGACAGAGAACGAAGTTGATCTGCTCCTGGACAAAGGTATTACTTTACTACGGTACATCCAGGACAAGGACATGTTCGAACGATACTACAAGAAGCATCTGTCGAGACGGTTGCTGATGAAGCGCTCCATCAGCATGGATGCCGAGCGCCAGATGATATCCAAGATGAAGATGGAGGTTGGGAACACGTTTACGCAGAGGATCGAAGCAATGTTCAAAGATATGGCTGTCTCCGCAGATCTCACGTCCAACTACAAGAGGCACGTGGCTGAACTGGGAGATCCTGATCCAAAGAGGGCGGAAATCGAGGTCAACGTTCTGACCAGCACGATGTGGCCGCTCGAAGCTATGGCGCCCTCTTACAACGACGGAGAGGATCGACCACGATGCATCTTCCCACCCCAGATTGAGAGAATCAAACAAGGCTTTGAGAAGTTCTACCTCGACAAACATAGCGGACGCCAACTTACCTGGCAGGCAAATATGGGTACTGCAGATCTCCGAGCCTACTTCCCAGAAATGAAAGGGGCCAAGAAGACAAGAGAGATCAATGTATCGACGTACGCGATGGTCATTCTTCTTCTGTTCAACGATCTACCTCCAGGCGGGTTCATGACGACGGAAGAGATTCAGGCACGAACGAACATACCCCTCAACGAGCTGACTCGAAATCTTCAATCGTTGGGCGTGGCGCAGAAGACGAGAGTCCTCCGCAAGGAGCCTATGAGCAAAGACGTCAAGATTGATGACAAGTTCTACTTTAACGAGACGTTCTACTCGCAATTTCAGAAGTTCAAGATCGGCGTGGTCACGAGTGGCAATAAGGTAGAGGACTCTCAAGAGCGCTCAGAGACAGAGAAGAAGAATAATGACACTCGGGGGGGTGTGATTGAAGCTGCTATTGTGCGGATCATGAAGTAAGTCTTTTCCTTTCTCGACGGAGAAGTCTTGGCAGAGCACAACGCTGACGCAAGTCTCTACAGGCAACGCAAAGAATTGTCCCATCAGAAGCTGATCGCCGAAGTGATCCAGCAACTGACAGCAAGATTTATGCCAGATGTCAACATGGTAAAGAAGCGAGTTGAAAGTCTTATAGAGAGGGAGTATCTGGAGCGAATTGAGGACCGAGAGCCAGCAGCATATCGGTATTTGGCATGAGATATCCCAATGCTTCTTACAGCTATGATATAATGCGATGAAATCGTTTCTATCAAGCATTTAGCGTGGAGTGAGATGGCATTGGGGCGTTGGGGCAATGGTGATATATTGGCTGTGATGAAGTGGCGCGCTCCACAAGCCGAAGCTAGAGCAATACAGGTGCAGAAGGTCTTGAAGTGAGATACTGTTTCCGTGCCATACTGTAAAGTATCTTACCATACCTTACTTCCAAGTCTCCGCGGTCCCGTAAAGTATTTTAGTCTCATAAAGTACATACTTATTCATGACTTGCGCAAGCGCCGGAAGCGCCCGCCATTGCTCCGAAGCAAATCTGGAGAGTGAGGCGCCAATCTTCTCATCTTCCTCCCTTACATCTTCGAGACGCTCTGCAGCAAGTGAAGGAGAGGTGTGGGGAGTGCACGATATCCTAGTAATTCACCTTCTCCACGCCTTCTCCACCTTTTCCTTTCCTTTACTTCATCGTCACTCCTTTGCCTTTGGTGCTGTCTCTGGCGTCGCATTTGGCAGGGCGCCCGGCTTTCAGAAGTTAGAAGCCTCATCATCCAGTTTATATCCGAGAGAAGTACCCGCCTTCGGCAATGCGTCTTTGATAGCTTTTTGGAAGACATCAATACCCAGAGCACACCCGTGTGAGCATGGCCGAGAGTACGAAGCGCCAGAATAATGCAGCAGGAAAAGCTCCGGTTGCGACGCCTAATGTTGGCCAGCTCGTAGCGCTCGAGACTGCGATGAGTGGAGCTATTGGTGGAAAGTAAGTACTACTTGATGCCGCCTCTTCTTCGAGCATGCAATTCTTATGCAATGCCCATTATGCCGCCGTCTATACTCTTCCATGCTCCGCCTTTTCAGCCACCATTGCTCAAGCTAACCACCCTCCCCACAGAGTTCGCGTCCAAACCACCGTCTCCGCGCATCCCACCCTCGAAGGCACCCTCTACACTATCTGCCCCCTCACCCACATCGTCGCCCTCTCCACCACTCCTCCAAACACAATCCATCACCTCCTCTCCCTCCCATCTATAACAACGCTCACCATCCTCTCCCCACCCCCCTCAGTTCCAGCGCTCCCACCGTACCTCTCTACCACGGCCCTCCACGCCCGCGCAGCAGCCGCTCTGCAGCGCGCCCACGAAAAAGCTAGCAGGGTCAATAGGAATGTCAGTAAAGAAGCGCAGGAGATATTCGATGCGATCAGCAGGATGTTGCCGACAAGGTGGGATGGGAAGGATATTGTGGTCATGGATCAGGTTGTCGTCAAGGGCCCAGGGTATAGAAGTGAGGACTGTAGGGCGGGGAAAGAGGCTGGGTCGGCGTTGGCTAGGGTGAAAAAGGTGGTGAGTAATTTTTTTCTGCTCGCAGGATAGGAAAGCAATGTTTGCGAGTTGCCTGCTATTGTGGTCCAGTGTTGCTAATCAAGTGATACCTATAGCTCGAGAACGAACGCAAGAAACTTGCGCAGCGCGAGCCCAAGGTGCCCAAGCCTGTCATACCGGCCGTTCCTGCCATTCCAACTTTCTCCGGAGGACCCAGGAAGGGAGGATGATTTATACCAGATTCAACATCAACTCGATACGAACGAAGGATTGTGAATCAGTATTGCAATGGAATTGTGAACAAGTATATGGAAGGGAACCGAACGAGTTAGGTTTGGCCCCTGCCATGGACGACCAACGTATGTATCGGTCTGTCTTATATCTCCAACGAAGGTGGATTGAGCTAGTAGTGCCGTCGGGGTTCAAAGATTGTGGATATCTTGAAAGGCATTAAAGGTATTCAGGGCCTGATAGTCAATATCGCTGCTGGGTAGCCAACCATGATATCAAGTAAATAGTAAAATCAATGGATAATACTGAATGGGGCAATCTCTGATGCCAAAAATCTGACTGCACTAGCCAGCCTTGTGGTATCTACAATTTCATCACACATTGCAGCATAAGATCATACATGCAGCTTTTCTTTTCCCATACTCCTCTCGCTATGCAAAATCAGCCAGTCATATTTTACTCCATCATCACCAACCCCTCCTCCTCCCCCTCTCCTCCCCACCCCTCTCCTTCCTCCTCTCCTTCTTCCTTACCCCTTTCCTCCTCTTCCTCTCGCCCTCCCTCTCCGGCTCCGCCACCGCCCCAATCCTCCTCTTCACCCTCCTCCCCTCTCTCCTCTCCTTGACCCCCTCTCTCACTCTTTGCAGTATTGTCACATACCCGGTCGTTCCCAGCTTCTTCTGCAGCAACGCCATGAGTTCTTGGCTGTTGCTGACGAGCGTTTTGTAGCCGCCCGTGAAGGCCGTGTCGGAGGAAAAAGGGGTAGGAATAGCGGGATCCGTGAGGTTGTGGAGAGGGAGGAGGATGGCTGGGATATGGGGCTTTAGGGTTGGGAGGGGTACGTTGTTGGTGAGTGCGCCGAGGAGGGTGAGGCAGGCGTGGAGAGGGATTAAAGAAGGGGAGCGGGTTGTGAGGGGACCACGGCGGAGGAGGGAGGAGGCGCGTTGGATGAGGTAGCCAAGTGCTAGTATGGTCGTAGATGTAGATAAGTCTTCTTCTTCTAGGCCATTTTCGTCCTCGGATCCTTCATCTTCGATGGTTTCTGCTTCAAGCTGTTGATCTTTCTGTGGCCAGAGCATAGATGTCTGTGCCATGATCTTGCCGAGGAAGACTAGATTTCGTACACTTTGGTTAGCGAGCTCTCCGCTCACGCCGGGCACTCTTAGCAAGCCTAGGGAAGCTCGCGTGACTCCTATGATCTCCTGTTCGCTGAGCCACAGACCGCCTGAGCCTTCAAGTGATAATGAAAGAGCTTCGTTGCCGACGTTATTCCTGGCGAAGTCCGCAAAATATGCACCCAGCAGTTTGGCAGCCGACAGCTTGACCCAAGCGTGGGGGAAGAAAAGACATTGACGCACACTCGCCCATAGAGGAGCCGTGCTTGCAGCGAGGGTTGAGGCTGAGAACAATTGGCATATCTTGGCAAATGCCTGCAAGGCGAAGTATAACAGCTCCCAGTCGGCCTCGGAAGGAGCTTTGAGATTGCTTTTGAGGATCTGCGTCAGTCGAGCCTGGAGAGGCGGGATCTCCTTCTCGCCTTTTGCACCATTCGTATCAAGATACAAGCAATACACCTGGAGCGCGACCCTGTTCAGAAGAGTCTCGTCGAACTGACCCAGCCAGGAACGAAGTAAGCTGAGGAACGATTGGGTGCGCTCGCTGTCCGCTCGCTCGAAAGTCTTCTTCAGTAGGACTCCAGCCATTTCTCGGCACTCGCTGGACTCGTCGTTGACTGTTACCATGACTAAGGGGACGAAGAAAGTTCCAACGACTTCTTGCACCAAGTCTTCTCCTAATTTGGTGAACAGGAGGTGAACGGCTTCCATGACTGACTGACGACCTTCCTGGTGTTTGTAGTCAAGGTTTCGGACGAGGAAGCTGAGCTGCTTGGAAAAGCGATCCTTGCTTTGGGGATATTCCATGACGAATTGGAAGTATGCGCCTCGGGCCATATCACGCGCGCCTCGGGTTTGATTGGTGACCATGATGACAGCGACAGCGTCGAGTACTTCATAGACCTCCGTGATCACGATTTTGCGAGTCATAGTGGCCTTCAGGAAGTTGAAAGCTACTCCCTGCTTATCAGGCTCTTCCAGGTCCGGAATGAGGCGTTTGAGAAGGTAGGCTAGATCTGTCTCTCTGATTTCGATCGTTCTTCGCTCCCGCAGGATAGCGGATACGAGCTTCAATGCTGCTTGTGCTAGCTCTACGTTTGTCGATGTCGAGATTTTGACTAGTCTCACGCACTCGGCAACATATATGGCTGCACTGTCGTCTATAGCCTTCAGAGGCACCTTGATGATCGTAGTGAGCAAACGAAGGGTGGAGATTTGGACCTCTTCGTTGGATTGGACAATGCCATCGCCGATGATAGGAATGAAGCCTGCTAGATTTGACGGCGTCTGAAGAGCATCATGCTTATGTAGCACCATTCGAAGCACATCAAGGGAGAACTTAGCAAGCTTGTAGTTGTACGACGAAGTACTACCGCGGGAGCCAGCCTTGTTTGCTCCTTTATAATTGATCAAGAAGCGTTTGGTACTGTGATCCTCTTTCGATTGCCTGCCGCTCGGAGTTTGTCCTGTCTTGTATACTTCTGCTATGATTTCGTGACAGAAGACGAGTACCCGGCGATCTTGGATGGCTTCATTGCGAAGAAGGCCAACTCCGATGCGTCTCAGCAGCTCATCGATTTTCTTCACCATCCGCAGATCCAGCTTTTCCCCTAGCAGGGTCTGCAATGGGCGGATGAGGTGCACAAAGTTCTCCACCGTCGTATTCTTTGCCACAAGCTCCAGTGAATCGTAGCTTTTGCTGCTTTTTACCTCTTTCATCTTGCTTATGTATTCTTCTGCATCCTTTTCCAGCCCCGTAGCCCCGAAAATGTCGTCCATGACTACTGAGATAATCTGCGGGAGACAATAGTCCAAATCGCCTATCTTGAATATCGAAGATGTGGCCACCAATATTGAATGCACCGTAAAAGACAAAACATGCAATTGGTACCCTCTTGCGAGAGCACTCCGCAACTCTTTCATGACGAAGCCAAGGTATTGAGGACCTATCAGAATCGATATCTCCACCAAGGTTTTACGAGTTAAGTCTCTCGACTCTTGTGCTCGGCTGCGGAGGATGTGACAAACATCCGTAAGAACAGGCGGCAATCGGTATTTCAGCCCACCATGAGGTAAGAGCTTCAGTAATTTGACGACTGAGACTGCGACAGGGACACGAAGGCTGACCGTAGACTCGTCCTTGTCATGAAGATACTTCTCGAGTGACGGCAGTAGATTGTCTGTCAGCTCACCAGCGAGGTTCTCCTGCCTCGGCATCGTAACAGCAAGCGTGCTGCCGTTGTGGACAGATGCTGGTGGTTCCGGATTGTCAGTATCCGGTTCACCGAAAGTGGTCAACGCTCTCTCCTTGTCCGCCGCTGCCAGGCTAAGGGCATCAATGACTACGCCCAGTAGCTTGATTACCGTTTTCTCTATATCTGGCTTGCTTTTGATGTAGCCACTAAATCTTCGAAACATAGCCCTAAATTGGGGCCACTCAAGCGACGAAGCTAGTGCACCAATCGTCACGACCGTCTCCGCGCTGAGATTGTTGGCGCCTTCGTCCTCGCCCTTGTCGAAGACGAAATGCTCAATCAGGGGTATGAAGAAGTGAGCTACGTTGACACTCCGAAGACCTCCTTGGCGTGCTTCTGTGGCTAAGCGGCGCAAGGCCCGGAGACGCCTATGTTGCTGGATGTGGAGGATGTTGCCAAAGAACGAAGCGTCCTCGTCATGGTTCACAAGTAGAGCGGACATGTCACTGACCTCCTGCCATTCCGGATTGTGACGAATGAGATGAGCTGTAATGCTGAGGTACTCAGTGCGAACTAATTCAGATGGTTCTGAGACGCCATTGCGGAGAGCCGGCAAGAGTACCGTTCTGGTCAAATCTGAGGACTCAGTCTCTGCAGCGTCTGAAGAAACGACGTTCATCTCCACGAACCGACGGAGTGCGAAGGACGCATTGGATCGTATTGCCAGTTCTTCATTGTCCTTGACGTAGAAAAGCATATTGAACAGGATCGGACGCCACTGCTTTGGAGTGAAGTCGCGGTACCTTATCTCATTGATGGCATTGAAAGCCTTCAGGCGTTCATCAAAGTCAGGCTCGTCGATCTTCCTTGGGGAGAAGGAGTTTAGACTAGTGCACAGTCGTGCAATATCTTGCAGCTCGCCACCTTGCTCTGCCAGGACGGACAAAACTTTCGAGAGGATCAAACGATTTGCCCTATCCTTGAAATATCCGAATAGAGAAGAAATCGTGCAGAAGATCCAATATTGCAGATCTGAGGAGAGGGCGGAGCCAATCAAGGGGATAAAATGCTGAACTATCTGGAGAAGCTCGCCTTTGGACCTAGGGTTGACTCGATGTGAGGGTTGATCGAGCAGGAATGTGCAGATCTCCAGTAGGTTATCCACTTGAGAGGAACCCTCGACCAGAGGCGCAAGCGCAGAAACAAGCTGGATTGCGGCAACCAAAAGATCTTTACTGGGGCTTTTGCGTAGTAGGCTTCCCATTCGATCAAGCATATTCTGCGCGTTCGGACGTAAGACGTCTTGTGCTATGAGCTCACTACTGGAGCCAGAGGAATTGTCCATTTCCAGGTCTTCAGTGATCGATGGCCTAGCGAGCGCGACGATCTTCCCAAGAATTTCTTCAATGACAAACAGCTTGACCTGGTCTTTTGCTGAAGGAACATCCAAACAGTCAATGACCGACTTCATTGCTCTTGCATCATAGTCTACTAAAAATAATACGGTATTTTTGGACGAAGCCCAAGTCGAGAAGAGCTGTAGTGTACCTGAAACCGATTGAGCTGTTTCAATGGGCAATGCATCTAGTCTTGGGCTCAGTAGCTCCGAGAAAATTGTGGATAGATAGGGCCGGAGCGTCTCAGCCGGACAGCATCGGAATAGTAGAGTTAGGCATTGCACGCCAATTTGTCGGACAGCCTTTGACAATGAGATCTGCGAAACACCCTCGGAAACTTGGTCCGTTGCGCCCTTCTCAAGTCCGAGCCGTCGGGAGGCCCAGACTAAGCAATACAACAAGGCTTGAGTTAGGCTTTTGGCGAAGGGCGCGAGACGATCGCCGATAATCTCGAGCATGTCCTTTATCATATTGACCAACCCTAATTGTTTTCGAATGCTTATGATTTCTGTGCCAAACAGCTCTTCGTTCAATTGGGTGCCTTCCACAGATCTAACGTCGCGTAAACGGTCAAGAGCGATGCTAATGAAGTCCTGGAGATATATCTCATCTAGCCGGGAGAGAGCCTCGAGGACAGTCTTCCTTCTCCCAGATTGTCCTCTACTACCACTGCTCGCGCCAGATCCTGCAATCATTCTACCATAAAGCAGCCTCAACATCACTGGCATCAGCTCGGGAAGATGGTCCTCTTGTATGACGCTGTTCTGAGCATCCACGTGCACAAATGTAGATATCTCGTCCCGGAATCTGGCATCATCTAGCAGATTTAGCAGGTTCTCTTGATAGAGTTGTATGCCCTGAGTCTTCCATGTGAGCAGAGCCTTGAGGGCAGATTTCTGGACCTCAGCGTCTCCATTGGTCAGCAGGCTTTGCAGTGCCAGAAACACATTGGAAGATCGATAGAGAACTTTGGGGTTATGGAAACAGCCAAAGAGATCCAGCATTGCTTTCTGGTCTTTCCGCTTAAGTCTTGAAGAAGTTGGATTTCCCCTCGCAATCGTTGAAGCTTCTGTGTCTTCCACAGGGCTCTCAGGATCTTGATCCAGCTCCTCGGCGGCCCATGACAGAAAAAGGGGTACGAGCTGCCTTGATCGCTTCTCTGCGACATGGGGGATTGCTAATAACACACGAAGAGCTAGACTGGGTGCGTTGGGAGCATGTTGCGGTGACAAAATATGAGTAGCAAAAAATTGGCGTCTTGACTTCTCAGCAGCCGTCGCAATTTCAATCGTTGCACGATCTATGAGTTGCTCCACTTGCATGAGATTTGAGCACTGAAAGTCAGTCAAGGAGCCTTGTTCCATTGGTGGGAGAGTTGACACATTAGTACTCCCATGTTCCAGGGCACGCTCTTGCAGCCACTCGAAAGCTAGTGCAGAAACGGCATCTTCCCCTGTCTTCGTTTCACATATCTGTTTTAGTGCAACGATCGCATCATCCCAGGCTTGGGAGAGTTTGAATGTGAGCATGCCGAAACAGAAATGGGGGATGGCTTTCTGCAGCCATTCATCTGACGACGCGGCTTCATACTGTGCTGATAGCCTGCGAGCATGCATCGATATAGAACGAGCTGATTGTAGATCTAGCGGACTGTTTTCGATCGTCAATGCTGTGGTAAGGATATCTGCCTTTTCACCATGTTTTTCCGCGTACAGCGCGTCCAATATCTGTAGTGAGATATTGCGTAATGTGTGAGAGGACGAGTGAAGATTCTCTATCAGCACCTGAGTCAACGAGTCATTATTGCAGTTCTGCAAACCGTTGGCCTTGACAAGAAGCAAGGTGGCTTCAAGGAATGGCGCAAGAGTTCCGTGGTTAACGGCCTGGCTGCACATCAAGGGCCAGCTTTTGGCAAGACGAGACCCAAGGTCGGAAGTGTATTGTACGTATGCTTTCAGCCCTTGGCCAAGGCTGAACACCTTCCGAAGGCTACCACTTGAGGACAACTGCAAATTCTGATGGACCATGTCGCTTACGCTTTCCATAACCTTGTCCCTAGTACCAGGGCTAACCATCATGAAGTCGAGTAATTGAAGATAGCTGGAACATCGGACGGCCGGATCTTCCTTATCGACTGCGTCTTCGAACGTCTTGACAATATGTTCCTGCCATGGTGCAGGGCAGGGAAATTTGTTGCAGTTGTTAGCCTGTCCGATCTTGGGCACTGTTAAACATAGCTCGAGTTCGTGGTCTTTCCAGTTGGAAGCAATGAATCTAGAGAAGTGGGGTCTAAGAAAGTCTTGGAAGCGATCGTGACCCAGATCAAAGAAGTAGTTGCAGAAAGGCAAGAAGTTTCGTGCAAAAAGATCATCTGCAACGATCTTCATTGCCTGACGAACCTTGGGCAGGACCAATTCTAGTGGGGAATATTGAAGGATCACAGCAGACGCTTTGTAGGTCTCCGCAAGAGGTTCCTCGTCTGACGGCTCACAGAGTTCGAGCAAGGCTAACATAGCATTCAACACTGGCATCCAATCTTGGATTCTGGACCCTTTCCGCACCGTAGAGACTACGAAGAGTAGGCGTCCACAAACAGTAACGCTGCTCTTGCTGGAATCGGGTTTAAGTCTCTGAAGATTTTCAAGCACGATGTCCAATATCGGTTGAAAGTTGACCGAGTCGGTTTGGTGTATCAAAGCTACCGTGACCCCATACACAATCTCTTTAAAGCCCGTGCTCGGGTCATTGTCATCTGCGAATTGGCGGTCAAGCATGCAACGGTAGATGTGCGCTCCGCCAGAATGTAGCTTCCGCTCAATGCCTTTGATCGAGGTGACCAGTAGCGTCATCAGACCATGCTGATACAACTGGACATTGCTTTTATTGAATCCCGACTTAGACGCTTGTAAAACATCGTCACGAATGGCGTTCACAACGATGGTCAAAGGTTTGGCATCCTTGGCATACACGATCGCAGCTTTCCTGATCAAGAAGGACATAGCCTCAGCAGCAAATCTTGTCGTATGAATTTTTTGTGGTTCTCTTCCCAGCAATGGCGCCATTATATCGAACAGAGGTCTCAAATTGGGTACCAGTAACCGTGAGAGGTACTTGAACAGCCATGCCAAGCATGTGAAGCTCCATTCAATAGCCTCAACATCTGCATGCTTTGCGGCCAGAGAAGCCACCAGTGTCACGGCTTTCAAGAAGTGCCCTTCGAACCGTACGCCTAGATCATGTGCGAAGTTGCTCAAAAGATCCAGCAGCGGCTCCAGCGAGAGTGGATCTCTCTTCCCAATGTAATCTACTAGGATATCGAACACACGTTGGTGGTAGTGGAGGATCTGAGCCAAGCTGTTACAGATCGGTCCAACTTCTCGAACAAACGATGTGAAACTTTCAGAGAGGTTGAGGTCTTTCCATCGGTCCAGTGAAGCCTTGAAGAAGGAGGCCAAATCTGTGAGATCGTCGGCTTCCACTTCGTTGCGGCGGCTCCTCCTTATGGGATCGATGCTGAGCTTTGAGATGCGCTGGTTGAACGACTCGAAACGGTGCTTCCGCATTGATGTAGTCCCTCTTTTCACCAGCTTTTTGGAGCGCGCCTGAATTCCTGAAGACATGGCTGCCATATTTCCCGTCTAACCTCGAGAAAATAGGACTTCGTGCTTTGCCAGAGCGAGAAAGCCCAGATTTGTATCTCGGGAAAAAGTTCGTGATTTCTCGAGACAATCCGGGGTCTGGATTAACTTTTTCCCTAGCGCGTATTTCCAATATCTGTGTTCTTCCTGATTGGGTTCATCTCATGGGTTCACCTTCGAAGTCACAGAAGATCTGCTTTCAAATTGAAACCTAGTAGACCAATTATGACCTCCAAAATGTAAGTACACTGTAAACTCTCTGTTACTTTTTCCTTGAGGAAAAACATAAATTCCACAAGTTTTTCAATCGAGATATCCATGTATTCTTCCATTTGCACATGCGTAGTGATTTACGAAATGAAGTCTTTGTATTACTAGTATGCTTACTATGGTGATGCAAACTGATAGCTGTTTAGCATCGTTACGGGCTCTGTGCACGGACGGTTCACAGAAGTTTTCGGGAAGATATCGAAGCTACATGCAAAGAACGCCTTCTCACTTGCTATAGTCGTAGGAGATCTTTTCCCCGAGCATACTGAAGGATCCTCGGAAGATGGAGATAATCTCACGTCTCTTCTAAATGGTAGAATCACCATCCCCTTGCCGACATATTTTACGCTTGGAAAACATCCGCTACCTCAGCAAATAGTGGACAAACTCGAGAGATCAGATGACGAAATTTGTCCGAATCTTTACTTTTTAGGCAAACGTGCGACCACGAAGACTTCTGAAGGAATACGAATAGTGAATCTCGGAGGGTCACTGGACCCAGAAATAACCGCTGGTTTGTCAAAAGACAAGCACTTGCCCTTCCACACTGAGGGCGACGCCAAAGCGCTTCATGGCGCAAACACCGCAGATATACTTGTCACGAGTAACTGGCCAACATCAGTCCATGCAAGATCCAACATCGAACTCCCAGAAGGTGCAGAGGAGTCATTATCATTAGCGAAGGCGGAGCAGTGTATCGCCGAGCTCTGTTCAGGCCTGAAACCTCGCTACCACTTCAGCACCTCCGACTCCATATTCTACGAGCGTGAACCGTTCTTCCACATAACAAAAGAGGATCAGCCTGACACTTCATCAATAACTCGCTTCATCAGTCTCGCCGCCTACGACAACCCTGCGAAGCAAAAGTGGCTATATGCTTTCACCATAGATCCGAACGCCGCACCACCCCTCACAATGCCTTCAGGTACAACAGCAACTCCCTTCACCGACACCTCAAGGAAGCGTCAACGTCTCCCAGATCAAATCCAGGCTTACTCACGCTTCAATCATGACAACGGCCACCAGAATCACCACCACCCAAACAAGCGAGCTCGTCACAAAGCTCCACCACCGGGACCTCAGGAATGCTTCTTCTGTCTCTCAAACCCCAATCTTGCAACTCACCTCATCGCCTCTATCGCAGAAGATGCCTACGTCACCACTGCAAAAGGACCTCTCAGCACCCCTACTACCTATCCCACCCTCAATTTTCCTGCCCACATGCTTATAATCCCTCTGTCACATTCTCCCACGTTGTCAAGTATCACGCCACCTGAAACAAAAATCTCAACATACAAAGAAATGCAACGCTACCGCAACGCTTTGCATTCCCATCTCCTTTCCACCAGCAAAGGCGTTTTGGGTGCAGTGACTTGGGAAGTTAGCCGCGCAGAAGGCATTCACATCCACTGGCAGTTCCTGCCCGTACCCGCCGATCTGATAAAGAAGGGTCTTGTGGAAGCAGCTTTCAAAGTTGAGGCCGAGAACGAAAAGTATCCCACTCTGAAGACAAAAGCGATAGGAGACGGCACAGCGGAGAGGGGTGACTATTTCCGTGTATGGATCTGGCGTCTTGAGGAGGGTGCAGAGTCCACTCTTAACGGTGGGGGTGCCAACGATGGGGATGGAGAGGAGAAGAAGGGAGAAGAGAAGGAACTTGTGCTGCCACTATCAGCGGAATTTCGCTTTGATTTGCAGTTTGGCAGGCGGGTAATGGCGAAGCTATTGGGCTTGGAAGCGCGCATGCATTGGAAGGACTGCACGCAAAGTGATGCTGAGGAGAAGAAGGACGCGGAGAGGTTCAAGGATGCATTCAAGAAGTTTGATTTCTCATTAGAGGAAAGCTAGGTACCCCCCAGCGTTGCCTTAAGATTCTTGCGGTCCATCTTCGACCGCGCTTGATGTGAAGACACATTTTGCGTACATAGAGCAGGAAACTCGATCTTGATACCGAAAACCTGTGATCACAGTCTGCGTACTGGCAGAAAAGTTGCATGGGAAAGGGAGAAACCGACTCTCAGCAAAAGCAAACACCCTCGAACCCCTCGACTTCCGTCATCAACATATCACGACGACCCAGTCTCCCACCCATTTATGCCGCTCCTTCAAACCTTCGCTCTCTGTCGCCACCACTCGACCAGAGGAGCCAGCCAGCACCAAAATCATCTTCATCCACCACCACTTCCTTCAACGACAAACACAGTACAACAATGAAGATGAAATGTAGAAATCGCGAAAGGATCGAGCCATTCCCACCAGATTCTTGTTAATGCCAGGTGAATCGCAGGAAAACTTTCCTGTGGGTGGGCGAAAGGGCTGGTTGACTGGGCCCTAGGCAGGCAATTTTGCTTCTACAGACTTACCTATTGAGAGGTTGCCATTGCTGGGACTTGTATTCTTAATAGATTGATAAGCGGATGAAATGGACTGTGCGCTGTGGCAACCCATGTTCTGCATTGAAAATCCATGAGCTCGTGAAATTTAGTAGTGTACATGTTAGGGAAACCTCTCCTCCGCAGCAATCAGATGGAAGATATAGGGGGAACCTGAGAATAAGTCCTCAAACGTCCCTCCATGAATCATTCGAACTCGCTCCTGGCCTCCGTCCTGCCTGCAGGACACTAGGTGCATGTTGTGGTGGAAATCCCGTGTGCTGCGCAGTCGAGCTCGGCGGTGGCAGCGTGTTACTGTAGGTTGTACCCAGCTCCAGAGGTTCATTCATCCCATTCGGTTCATATCTTGTGCTCTCGCTTGGGGTATAGGCGGAATAAGAAGTCTGCTGCCCCTGACCGATCCCCGAAGTAAAATCGGGACCAGTATAATGACCGGCTCCATGTCCAAAGTCTGGGCCTGTGTAGCCTGCGGGTGGTTGTCCTTGTGCGTGATGCGCTCCGTAAGGGTCAACAAGAGGTGAATCTGCCTCGGAGTAGCCAAATCTTGGATTTGACAAGTCCGCGGCTGAAGCATTGGCTCCAGGCGCTAGCATGGGGTTCTTTTCTTGTGGTATTTCCAGACGTGACATCTCCACATCATCTTCTTCGACATGCTTCTTCTGTGCATTTTCCCAACTCGGCATTGCAGGTAGACTGTCTTCGTTCACTGCTTTGCCACGACCTCCGACATCGAACTGCGCAAAGCGCGGAGGTTCACCATAAGGTGGCGGGGCGTTGTTGGGATTGTTGGCGGGCTGGTAGCCCATGTAAGGAGCTGGGTTGAACATGGAAGCTGTGCCAGCACGGTTGCGACGTGAGCGGCGGCCGCCGCGACAGCAGCAGCGGAAGCAGCAGTAGGCAGCGAGGGCAAAGACAATGATACCGATGACTATGCCGGCGATGGCAGGCCATCTTTCGAATGTCAGTAGAGATTCGTTACGGTGGAGGACAGAAGAAGGGGGAAGGAAGGTCTTGCATACTTGCAGTAGGCTTTTGACATGCAAAAGGCCCAGCCTGATTTTACCTGGCCGTGTTCGTAGACGGTAGAGAAAGAGTGAAAGTTGGGGTCGCCATCGCGAGGCAGAAGGAGTGGCATCCTGGCGAAAGACGTACACAAAGGAGGAGTCAGAGGCGGTGTGTAAACGTGTTGACAATGGTCAAGAGTACCTGTACTCTGTTGATCTGAGAAATCGAAGAAGCAGAAGCAAAAGGGGAGGACACTTGATGATACAATGAACAAAGAAATTGAAGCGAACAAAGAGTGTTCGTCAGGTTGGGGCAGTTGGAATGAAGATCTTCAGGGGCTCACGGGTAAGGCTGAGAATGGACGGAGTTTGTCACCATTCACCCATTCTATTTTCGTCCGTGCCAGGCATCGGTTTCAACTTTCAACTTTCGTTGGTTTCTAAACACCAGGAAAAAGTCGACTTTTTATTTTCAGTCGTTCAAAATTTTCGCTCACTTCCTCTGCGTTTCCCAGAGAACTTCACCCAGAAATTCATTCTAACAAGGGTGACTGGATCGGAAAGAGGAGACGCTGGTTGACCTTGGTTATCGTTTCGCGTACGGTGTGCGTCAGCTGACTTTGGATGGTGTCCCTTTGGGACGTGTCAATTGTGCAGATGTAGGTTTTATATTGTTCAAGCCGGATTATCTCTTGTGTTATCAATGACACACTGGTTTGGGCCTCCTTCCATCCTCAGTAACTGCATATTTTGGCGTCTCTTTTCCCTCAGGCCAGAAAACAACCCGTATTACCTCGATTCTCGGATACGCAAATTGACTGCTAAGATGAGAGTACTTCTCAAGATGTAAGAAGCCCCAAGACGGCGGCCACGGTCCACCAAGCTGATCTTTTCCGTCGCATGACCCCTTACAACATGATTGGAACCGGATCGCAGACGGCCCTACGAATTCTCGTAATCATCTTGCTCCAGCTTCATTTCTGGAACGTAGTGAGCCTTTCAACCCGAATAGCTCCTGGGATGAGGCCCAGAAACTGACAACCAGCTTGGGATCGTGGTACTGCAAGATGGCATGCAAGGGGCAATCGTGAGTCCGTTCGTTTGTCAGGGCTCTGCGAGCTTCAGAGTGAGCACGAGTAGGTCTGGTGAGGCTGGTAGTTGTTATTTCGAACAGATCATCGTCTGAGGGTCTGGTTTGGATTTATGGCCGTCTAGAGCTCTTCTTGCACGAGACAGCCTCGGACTTCACCCAATCAATGTTGTTTCACGTCGAATGGCAACAAATTTAACGTCGGTTCTTGGTTCATGGCCAAACCAAGCTTTTGGTTGATGGTTGTAACGGCATAAGCAACCAGAGCTATTAGCGTGTGCAGAAAACGTTAGAATACTTAACACTGAGATTATCACACACACACCACCAAAAGTAGTACTAAATAGATGAATCTTCTCCCATATCGCATTCTACCACCTTCCTTATCATATTTAAAGCTCCTATATATCTCGCTTAGCCGATCCTTAATATTTTACCTTAGTATTTTAAAATACCTCCTAATCGACATAGTTAGAGGTTTTCTTCTTACTATCGATAATATAAATATATAAATAATCAAGTATCTAAAAGCAATAAAGGACTTTATATCTACTATATATCGTATTACTATATAATTAGAGATTTCTAATACTTTAGCTAGAGGCTTTAAGATAGACTTAAAGATATTTAAGTCTTAATAGCGATAAGCGAAGGCCTTAATAACTCTAGGGTAATAGCAGCAGTAGCAAATATAGTTTAGTCTTTAAAATCTATCTAAATATCGCACTTATTAAGAGCCCTATTTAACTTTCTTATATTCGCCTTAAAGATATAGCCTTTTATAGCACTATACTTAATTATTATAAGAAGTATTTTGAAATAATAGAAATTAACTAAATGAGATATATAAAAGCTTTAAATATAATAAGAAAGGTGATAGAATACGATATGAGAGAAGATTCATCTATTTAGTACTACTTTTGATAGTGTGTGTGTGATAATCTCAGTGCCAAGTATTCCAACGTTTTCTGCACACGCTACTACTGCGGGGTCATCAAAGTCCCCGCTTTTAGCATGACCATCTAGCAACCACAAATATACCTCAAGCTGTCAGAAAACGTGACAGTCTTGACGACTGAATTCTCTTCACCTTTTCACGAGCTACAGGGTATCAAGCCGAGTATACTAGCTGTCTGTATATATAGAATCATCTCAAACAGCATCTTGGTGAAGGAAAAGAGAGAATCCAGGTGCCAAAAGGTTGGGATTCGTACCTTTGAAACTCTCCGTTTTTGTGGCAGCGCGCCTGGAATGTCATGGGCTCTCTGGCGCCTGCGGCTGGAATTGAAAACAGCAAGGAGGAGATCAATGTTCTGGTAACAGGCTTCGGTGTGCGCTGTCCATCAAAGAAGTTCTCAAGTCATGGAGCTTGGCTGACCTGCCTACCTCAGCCCTTTGGAGAGAACACCACCAATCCAGCCTACCAAATCGCAAGGAGCTTGCCCACCGAACAAAAGATACCCGGCCTCCCTCTGATCATCCTTCACATTCATTCGGAGCCGATCATCGTTAGTTACGCTCATGTCCGAGAGATCATTCCAGAGCTCCTCTTCCCTAAGAATGGCTTGAAGCCTAAACATGACATCGTTCTCAACATCGGTCTGGCGCCAGGCCGGAACTTTTATACGCTGGAGACCCTCGCCCATAGGGATGGTTACAACAAGAAAGACGTTGATGGCAAGACCTTGGAGGGAGACACGTTTTGGCGGATAGAGTACAAAGCACCAGAGAGACTACACACCAGTTTTGACACTGAAGATGTGTGGAGGCGGTGGAAATCAAGCCTCGTGAATGAGGATCTTCGGCCCTCCAATAATGCTGGGCATTACCTTTGTGACTTCACGTATTATGCCTGTATGTTTGAGTATTGGCGGAGGGAGCACGGGGGACAGCGACCGTGTATGTTTCTACACGTTCCAAGTGGGCTGGAAGAGGAGGATATCGGAAGGGGCAGAGAGGTGGCTTTGGGACTGATTGCTGCACTTGTGAGCAGCGAGATGGCAGGAGACAAGAGCAAGAGAGTCGAAGATGGTATGGAAGAAAATGAGTGGGACCGTGCTGCTGACTATGAATGTAGTTAAAAATGAGTTATAAGAGGGGTATTTTCCCGACATTGACCAACACCATTTCCTTTCGTTCTCCCCCTTCTGCAGAAACAGAGCACAAGGTTTGCGTAAATGGAAGAAGGTCGACGGACGATGCCCGTGTGATCTATCCAAACAGCTTGGTTCATCCAGATAATTGTACGAAGCGGCCACATGGCGTCGTCGAACAGTGCCCAAGGCTTATCAATTGGAAGTGCTTCACAAGAGTAAATCCAGCATGGAAGGGCAGCCAATGGCATCGTAGCTCGGGTTGGACAGCGGTGACATAAACGAAAGATAGCGCTTGCAAAGTATCCCTCGCATTGGGAGCCTTTTGAAATCCCGAGCAGAGAAGTAATAATGCAGGTCGATGCCAATTCCTCACAGCGGCCTGAAATCCAGGGCAACCTCTCAAAGACAGGTATCCACGCACATGGTTGTAAGATACTGGCCTGAACCAGAAGATCGGTAGTCGGAAAAGCGCGTTTAAGGCGCGTCCGCGTCGGTTTCGTGTCAAGAACCGCAAATGATTCACGAATAGTGATTCTTCCTGCAGCAAAAGCAGGAGCGTTTCGCTTGCACTATCCCGCCTGCAGTACGGAGGTCGCTGTTGGTCGTTAAGATCATGGAATACTACACGGGATCAAATGCTTCTGCATAGGCAAGTCCGGTTTCCAGCTTTCTGACAGACCGTGAAGCAAGACATTTCACGCTAAAAGGGTGGTCCAATTGTTCGCGAATCAGCTGCGTCGTAGAGGCAGAATGTAGGTACAGTACCTAAAGTACATTATGTACTAGGTACCTAGGTACGTAGTCCGGACAGTACTGGTATCCTTCTTTTCAATGATAATGGTGAAGGCCGTAAAGTAGATTTGCAGGGGCGGGATGCAACCGAATTTTGACCCTACTTATAAAGGTAGAGTAAGCATTTGACGCGTACCTCTCTTAGCAGTCAGCTAAAACTGTACTTTCCTTGACGCGCTAATTCCAACGCACTTGTGACTTGACGCTTGAGACTGCCTTCTCACCTATCTCATCCTGTCTCACCATCCATTGGCCCAACCTGGCCACCATCAACGCCTTCTGCAATCGCTCATCGTCCCGTCCGTGCAGTAGGTCCAATACTCAAAGACCCTACACCATTTCGCTCACCCTCGCTGTTTACCCCACCGACCAAGGGACCTCTATCAACCACAGTCTCAGCTCTGGAAATCTCGCACTCCCAACTGAACATCTTGCTACGCAACAGTGCTCCCAACCCCAAAGATCGAGTGCCCAAGCTCGAGACAGTCCATCTGCGAGGAGACTACGCTCAGTCTTCCCTACGAGACGGTCAACGGGTTCAAGAGCTGAGACCAGCCACTATATAGTTGCTCTGAGACTCCTCAGCATTCCCTTCTCGTCAGGGTCGAACGCTATCAAACCGACACAGAGCACCGATACTCAGGTCGATCGGTCACATAATTCAATCTTTCAGCTACACCAGCAGCGCTCCGACCGAGACCTGCCCGACACCATCCTAAGACCACAATCGTTGACGATGATGAAAACCCATTGCTTGGGTTAGTTTCCCGTCGGACAAGACTTAGCTCAAGGCTCGTCTGCTTTTCCAATGCTCCTGGGCCCAAGTCTACGACAAACCATACCTGCTTTTGCTAGCGAGACACTCACATCGGGGTTGTTTCATTTGCTTGCGTAGGCTCTCACACTCGCAATACGCTTCTGCCTCCTTGCTCCGTTAGCTACTCATCATGCCACGAACACGTCCACAATTGTCCATCACCCTCCCTCGCAATTTTACCTTTCATTACACAGAGGGCGAAGAACCCAAGACTCCGGAGCGAGAAGTACCAATACCCGTGCCCCAGTCTCCTCGACCAAGCAATGCCTATCGCTTCAAGCGGCGGTCTCGCCCCGGTGTGAATTCGATTTTCCAGGACAACAAGGGTTCTATTAGCTCCAGCGATATCCCAATCCCAACTATCGAGACGCCCATTGTGGTGGAGCCAACAAGGCCGGTAGTCCAGCAACGAGCCACCGAACCAGCAGAGGGTTACCTCGCGCCATTCGCAACTCGACCATTCATGACTCTACCACGCACTCCTATACAACAGCAACGTCGTTTGGCTTTGGCAGATGGCTGGAACGCCTCGATTCATCAGGATCTAGGCGATAGCATTACTCGTCCCATGTCTACTTGCTCCTTGCTCTCAGACTCTTCGGATGATTCAAATGGCAGTCTGACATCATATCCTGCTGGAGACGGCAGTTGCACGAGCCCAGAGAGCGATGCACCGGATCCATTTAAATTTGCTTCCATCAGAAAAAGCAAAGCCAAACAATGGGCAACGCTTGCGAGAAACGACGACTCTATCCAGAGCGGTCTGTCGACTAAACAAGTTCGAGTGAACTGGACGCCCGAAATGGACAAGCATTTGTGGTCGATTTACCACGTGTACCTCCAGGATCCCACAGTAACGCCATTCAAGATGCTGCCCGGTACCGCTCCGCCTCTCGGAGTATGTCATCGCGTAGCTAGAGAAGCGAAAAGAAGTTGGCGTGGTGCGAAGACGAGCCTACGGAATCCTTCTTCAATGATTAGTCCACCTAATGTGGATGACCGCTTTAAGGCAGCAGCGACCTTTGCTCGCAGGCCTGGTTCTCCGGACACCATCAGAGCAGATCGAAGTGGTAGCAACACCCCAACGGGGTCGGCCACTGTCAAAGCGCCATTGTGGCCTAAGTCGAGTTCTTCGACAAGACGACGACTGCGTCATCTATGCAAATCCAAACCTACCATCGCACCTCACTACCAACGTCTACTTCAAAGTCGAAGCCCCTCACCTTTCTCCTCTAGCTCGCGCACTCAATCTCGTTCTCAGTCTCGTTTGTCCGAAGTGTGCAGTCCTTTCGAAAAGCAGACATCGTCCTTCAACACACGTGATATTCAGCTATCCTTGACCACCAGCACGGCGGCTTCTATGCAGCCACACGGCCCACTTGCAAAGTTAGGTTCCGAAGATGCGACAAGTTCACAGCCCCAGCAAGAGTGGTTCAACGAGCCTCCAGTACCTTGGGCATCACCAACTGCAATCCCGTCAGATGTGATAGATGTTGATGTTGGCGGAAACGAAGAATCGATGCTCGCTCCACCGCCGCTCGGCTCTCCGTTTGGCTATCATACCTGGGGCCCAAGTCGATCTCGTCAACGTATTCGTCCCAGTACCTCAAGGATCCACTCGAGTGATGCCTCCACCCTCGGGCCATCACTCAGATCGCCGGTCCGGTTCTCTGACACGTTCCCGTATCCAGGAGTTCAAAAAAGACGTGCTCTTTATCCACTGGAGGACGAGTTGAGCCCAGGAGGTAGCAACATGCAGCAAAGTCTGCTCGACAATCTATTCGGAAGCCCTGCTGAAGGCCGCCATCGCCGTGTTCGAAGTCGCGGTTTCAGTCTCGGCGACGTCAACACGCCCAATCCCCTCGAAAGCCTCTTCACTCCTCCACACTCTCGAGATGGTATGGCTGGCATTCCAGATGCTACACCACCAGGCCCAAGCTCTGGTCCCGCTGAGCCACGAACTCCGATTCGAACAATACGGCGCTTGGGATCGCCATTCCATCTTGTTCCTGCGACCCCGTCTCGGGGGTCATCACGACATTTGGCGACAATGAGTCTGGGAGGACACGAACATTTTACTTCTATTGGCGAGACGCTGGGTCAAGCAAACAAAAGCAGACTCCACAACCCGACGTGAATAGATAAGAAAAAGCCCTCTTCATATGACTTCGCCGCGTGCATACAATGGCCACACGATGGGCACCTCACTGACGCTTGGACTTCCTACACTTACTTTTCACGCATTCACATACGATTTCTATGGTTATGATTCAGTGCTCTACTATTCGAAACCAAAGATTTGGCAGGTCCCCTGTCATGGACATACATATTCGCAAACACTACAGATGTTGATGATTCTAACACGACGGCGTTCACGGGTGGAAGATTGGTTAGATGACGGGATGATGATGGGTATCTCACGATGAAGCGTAGCAAATTGATGATCAAGGAGACCGTATTGTATTCACTCAAGTTTGCTGGATATATTGTGGCAGCGCAAGAGAGGCCATGCGGATATGTAAGATAGGTATCTAAAGTGAACCAAAGCGCCCTGCAGTTTCTCTCGACCCGATGAGCTCCAGGAAATGCATCTTTCCAGAAAGATTCGCAATGCATAGTCAAGGGACTAACATGCTCTGCTTCATTTCGTCTTCTTCTCCCTAATCCTCTCCTCAATCCGTCTCAAGCCAGCCTTCAGGCCTCCGTTCCTCCTCCCGCCTTCACCCGCCAACCACTCCTCCATCCCCTCCCTACACCTCCTCAGACCCTTCGTACAAGGCACCTTGCCTCCGCCTTCACCCTCCACATTCGCAGCCGGGTTCAGCAAGATCTCAAACAAAGGCGCCCAAAGTTCGGACTGCCAATACCTCTTCAGCCCTTCCCTAAGCTTGTACTTCTTCTTCTGCCCAATACCCCCTCCTCGTTCGCCATTCGCGTCTTTATCATCCACCGCCACATCTTCGATATACTTACCAAACAGTAGACTGTGTATGACACCAGCAATACCCCAGTAGTCAACTTGGTACGTCCAGGGCCGCATTTCGCGCATCTCGACGCAATCTTGCTTGCCCGTTTTCCAATCCGCTACAAATTGCACGTCTTCTTTGAAAGCGCGCATGTCGATACCTCTACCGAAGTCTATCAAGCAGAGGCCCTTTGAAGCCCAACCTGCGCTACCGTCGCGCTGGTAGGTGGGGTCCCAACCTTCTTTCTCTTCAGGTTTCGACAAACGGACAAGGCAATTGTCGGCTTTGAGGTCGCCGTGCAGGATGCCCACGCTGTGCATAGCCTCTACTGTGCGTAGGAGTTCGACCGTGAAGAACATGGCTACGCTTTCCTCGAGCGTGCCATTCGTGGAGTTTGAAGGGTCTGTTTTGGCGAGGTTGACGAGGTCGAGAAGTGTCCCTTGGTCGAGATAGGTTTCGAGGAGGTAGCCTTCGTCAGCGAAGAGATGCATTGAATGTGGCTTGAGAAGGGAGGGTGAGGCGCGGTGGGAAGAAGGAAGACGGCTCTGGAGAAGGGACATTATGTAGAATTCCCAGGATGTGGGAGGGTGCTCGCATTTCATTGCAACAAGGGTGCTGTTTTCTGGATCGGAGCTGTCTTCTTCAGCGAGGTAGACAGGTGCAAAAGCGCCTTTGCCGAGCTCGCGTTTTACGGTGTACGTCTTCGTTGACGCTTGGGGAAAGCGAAGCGTTGGTGGCATGGAGATGGAGGTGGTAGTCTTGTCGGATCCGCTCTTGGCCTTTGCGAGAGCTTTGATGAATTTGCGGACTTCTGGGGCTCTGTTGCAGCTCAGGGGTCTGTAGTCATAGTACCCTGAGTAAGATGACAGTGGTGGTTTGACGCTCTCCAGTATACATTTACGGACAGAGTCGTCGACTGGATTGCATTGTGCATCTCTGATTATTGGTCCTTTGGCGTCTTGTGCCGAGTCCAAGGCAGTCTTCGAACTAGCAACCTTCAACTTGGGAACGCGTGGTGGCGGAGCTTCGTTGACGATTTCTTGAAAAGGGCTGCTGAGAAGCTCTTCGTCAATTTGAGGTGTTGCGTGGCCTTTGTTCTGGTGCCTCGAAGGTGTCTTTGAATTGAAGTAGTCTTTCTCTTCTCGTATCGTCAGAGCACCCATTGATGACTCGGTCTTTTCAACGATCGGTGTCATGAATGGCAGTCGATTCTGAGATACCTGGGACGGATCTCTATATGGTCGGGTAGGCGGCTCATAATCCTCTGGTGGTATAGGGACATATCTTGGTCGGATTGATCCATTCTCAGGCTCAGGTGAAATTGGCGTTATCAGATCTATATCTTCGTCTCTTCCGTCACCAATTGGATTAGCGTCTTCGAGCACTACGACCCCGTCCGTGGTTGCTCCGTTCGTGGCGTTTTCTTCAGACTCGTACGTATCCAATTTCGGAACGTGCTTGCTTGCAGTGAAGTCGGACCACGGACTCACACTTGCGGCAGCACCATTAGTATCCTCGAGAGCGGCCACACTCTTCACATCTGTCTCAGTATCCCCAAACTCGCTAGTACCAGAGATCCTTCCAGTTCCTGTGCTTTCTCCTGCGCTGGTGTAGTCGTCGTCGTCATCATCATAGTCGCTTTCACCAGCACTATCCTCTGGACCCGCCATTGGATCTACATTCCTCAGAGGCTGATTGAAGATATCCAAGATGTCTTCGGTGGCTGCTTTGGTATGGAGAGTCATGGTAGGTTCTGCAGATTTCTTGCGCCTCAGCTTTGGTCCCGTAGGCGATTCGAGATTTGTCAAGACTGCAAAAAGTAAGCTCCTTATTCCGAATTGTGGTAGTCTTCAATCATACTCGTCTGTGTCTCCCCCTTTACCTCCCTAATCTTTATCTTCTTCGGACGTCCAGCCCTGCCCTCTTGTCCGATGTCCACAGCGATTGTAGTCTCGAGCTGCGTATTGGAACTGCTGTGAGTGTCTGGCTTGGGCCGAGCAGGTTGCAGAACACCGACCGCTTCTTCGGTGGAAGCAACTGTAGAGGCTTGATCTTCTGCTTCACGAGCCGGAGATGCTTCTGCTATCCTTTGCTTGCTTTCAGCTGCCCAATCACGATTCAACCAGCCTCTCGACTTGGCTCTCAATTCTTCGAAGCTCATCTCTTCGCTGTGATCACTATCATTAGGGTATACTGCTTCTAAATTCACGAAGACACGCTCGATCTTGCCTGTACGGGCATTTGTGACCTGTTGCTGGTCTGCATATCTCGACGGTTTTGATTCATTGGTATTCGTTACTTGTGAGCTTGACTAAATAACAAATGACGCCAGATTGCCAGCCATTAGTCCTATGACCGTAAATATATGTGCGGAGACATCTCACGAGCAGAACATACCTCGTCTTTGAAGATGGCCATCTTCGGCAGTCCACCTGTCTTTTTGCCTGCTCTCAGAGTCTCTCCTGTCCAAGGCCTAGCTTCCATGACGTTCTCTTTCTTACGATCTGCTATCGTTCCAATGTTATCCCACCCTTTGGCTACTTCGACAGGACCATTGACATCAGGTGCCGGTCCGTCAGCATCGCTGAATATTGCAAGCTTCTGTCTTCCTCCTCGCGCTGTTGATGACCCTCCAATTCCCGAGGGCAGTCGCGGAGCTTGCGGGTCTGACGATCGAGGTGTCGAAATCGCGAAAGGGTCCAACTTGGCCACTAATGCTGGTCGTACCGTCGGCAGTGCTGGAGACGAAGGCTCGTCTGCATTCTGCACTCGAGACTCGAAGCGATGCTGAAACTCTCCAAATTTGCGTATCAAACGCTCTGCGGGGCGAGCTTCTCGCTCAATACCAAGCTTATAGACCTCATCCGCTTGTGTCCACCTTGCAGCTCCTTCCAGCCATGCTGCAAACTCTTCGTAGAAAAGTGCAAGGCCTTCGCCAATATTATGTCTTGCAAGGTATGCGAAAGTCTCTCGGGGAGCGTCTGAGAAGAATCGAATATAGTTCAGCCATAGTTTTAGGTATCGTGGATCGTTTTTATAGTGTGTCGCGGAGTGAAAAGCTTTGGTAGCTCGCTCGAGCAACGGTCGTAGTTGGGATTCTGGTGTTGCTTGAGCGGAGGGGTAGGCGCTTAGGGTCCATTTCACATATCGGTCATAGACATCTAGAGGGTCGTCGGAATCCGCAATTGCGATCAGCTCCAACTCGTACTCCTCCCGAATGGCATCGTTAAGATTCCTCGTGTCTCCTAGAGTAGGTCCTAATGGGCGCAAGGATGTAGGTGCGAATGTGGCAGCGAGCGCCTTTGCAGATCGGCCTCCAGGAAGCGATTGTATGTTTTCCTTGTGCGTTTCGATGATGTCGAAGTTAATTAAGTCCTCCATTGTCGATGTTTGGTAGCCTTGGATAGACAAAGTATCAAATGCGAAAGCTGGGGTTGCATGTCTTAGCCGCTTGTGTTGACCTTCCAAGTGTTGGCCCAGTAACCCACTTAGCGTCATACCGAAGCTCCCTAATTAAGTAAGTCCTGCCAATGGTGAATAATTCTTGCTTAATGTGAGGGTGCCAAATCCTCTGCCAAACCCTCTATAATTATTACAGTAGTTGTGAGACGGGTGTTACAATTACACGGTAACAAAATGTATAACAAGAATTTTGAATGTCTGACGAAACATGAGGGTAAAGTCATCATGGTATTTCGGATGCATATTCTTCTACGCTATGGAGTGGTACATTTCGAATCGTATTATCCGTATTTGCACATGCTGCGTAGTTCTCTCTCCCATAAACCCTCCGAGCTTCCTCGTCCACCTCTCATTACAGTTCTCGATTCATTCAAAATCCCCTATGTCTCCCTAAGAGTTGTTGATCAACGGCTTGCTAGAAACAGTTCGCTCAGATGTGTTGTTAATTCCGTATGGTACCATGTGAGGATATGATGCCAAGTTTCATGAGCTCCCAAGCCATCATGTGAAGTGTTGAACGCAAACTTTCTTGACCTGATCATCAACACCTCACTCACATTCAACATCAGACAGAATTCTCACCGTTCTAGACAACATATTCCTCGAATATACGCCTCGGGTTCATTACAACAGTTGATAACCTTACACTGCTGTGGTCAAAAGGCTTGAAATCATTGCAGGTTGCAATCCAAATCCACTGTCAACTAGCACCTCATTCAACCCGCCTAACCTATCCAGCATGCCAGAATCAACACCAACCGCCGCCGTCTACGAAGGCATCAAGACCGCAGAAGGTCTCGAACGGTAAGTGATGTTCTCACTCAGCCATCACGACGAACGTTAGCCCCCCATCTGACCTTCAAACAGCCTTGCATCTGAGCCCATCGCAGTGGTCGTTGGCACCGAGGGCGTTACCAAAACATGGCACTTGCCCAAACAGCTCCTTGTCAAGGCTTCACCTTTCTTTGCCGCTGCTTTGAACGGACCCTTTGCAGAAGCAACGTCCAAATTAGTCAATCTTCCAGAAGATAACACTGACGCCTTCGCATTGTTCATCCGATGGTTGTTTGTTGGCGATATCAGCGGCAAGTCGTTCCACTCTGGATACAAACCCTCTGGAGACGAAGCCTCTGGAAGAGGTCGCTGGTCAAGCCTCTGTTCAAGTTGGGGACTGTTGGGAACTTGGGGCGATACAAGCAACAGCAGTGCTTTCTTTCCCAGCATGCAGGTCTGTCTGCAAGCATGTATCCTTGGGGACAAGCTGGGCTGTCCAATGTTCCATGATCTTGCCATGCTCGAGCTCATCGAGAGTCACAAAAGTGGAGGGATCAGTTCCAAGACCATGCAATTTGCTTTTGAAATGTCGGCCCCGGGGTCTAAGCTTCGTCGATTCTCGATCGATCAACTCCGCTACGACATTGAATGCGGGACGGTTTCCGAGGATGCAGCTGCTTATGTCTCTGCTGCCAAGATCGCCGAGGACTTTGCACTGGATTTCTTGAAGGCGTGCATAGAAGGGAACTGCCGCAACGCCATTGATCCCATAGCGCACAGAGGACAGTACATGGAAGTCTGGACATTCATGGAGGAAGGCTAATTCAAGAATACCGAGCTTCATTTCCTAGCTGAAGTGCACCAGTTGAGCCAGTCCGTGAAGAACGACGTCTTCACCTTGCAGCTGAAGTCGAACAAAGCACGCTCTTGCGTGGCGCCATAGACCTTCACCACCTTCCGCAGGCTTTCTCTATCATGAGCGACTAGAACTCTCACAAGAAGCAGGCTTGCCTGACTGCACGCACTAGCATGAGCGTTTGAGCCCTCTTTCATAGCTTCAACGTGAACCGCTTCAAGCAGATCAAATACAGACTCTGTGTCCTCGATGTGTGGCATCCCGTCCCCTTTGCAAAGCCGAGCATATTCCCTCATGACATCGCACGCCTTTCGAGATACCAACGGACTTGTTGTCGTTCGGACCAGCGTGAGGATCGGTAGAGAAAGACTTAAAGCTAGGCCATTGCCGTGCTCTTGCTTCACGTAAATCTCCAGGAGATCCAACACTCGGCATTTGAAATTGACTATGTTCTCTTTGGCGTCTTTCTTCTCAGTCTTCTTGCTCGTGACCTTCTTTCGCTCTCGAAAGATATTCTCCAGAGACCCGTTCAACTCGAACATTTGCTCGTCCGTCATCTCTTCATCCGAGGAGGAACTGTCTTCTGCGTCTACATCTTCGTTGCCAGGCCGAGTACCCACAATCTGTGCAAGTTTTGCGTTCAGTTCTGCCAATCCATCATCATCTTCATCCGAGTCCGCCGCATCTGTGTCGCTCGATCCTTCATCGGACTCTTCCTCTGCGGAAGAGCTTCCTAACCCGGTCTTGGCCAAATCGACTTCCTCCACGTCAAACGCCGAGCCCGCCTGTCCTTCCTCATCTTCTTGGTCGAACATTTGTGACTGGCCTGACAGGCTCTCCTTTGTTTCCAAAATCTGCGGTACTTAGTGCTGGTTCTCAAAGGGAACGCCTTTTCTTACCTCGATCATGGATTGCAAAGCAGTATCGTCAAGCTCGGATGCGCAAGCTGTGAAGACCTGCTGAGCCAGGCGTCGAAATAGCTGCGACGGTTTTGCTATGAAGCTCAAAAGTATCTCTATCAAGGTCGCAGAGTCCTGAGGACGCCTCTTCTTTTGAAGTAAAGGCTTGAAGCTGTGGTTGAGCTCGACCAAAATACCAACGGCGTCAGCTTCCTCATTATGCACCTGTAGGATAGTTAAGGAGTACAGGAGCTCAAGAGCACGAAAGAATCGCGCTTCTTCATCTGGATCACAACTAGACTGAGTATGAACCTTTCTCAATGTCTGCCACGCCTTCCTCAGTACGACACGCACATTTTCATCGGCGTTCAAGACAACATGGGGATGGTTCGCATTCTCTTCTCGGCCATGAATATTGCATACAAGCTCATAGGCAAAATAGGACGGCTCCCCTATTGGCTTAGCGACCAGGCTCGATAAACATGACGAGATACGCGTTCTGAACATCTCTCGTGACGCCTGGGAGATTTTCGGACCTGGACTGTCGCCTTGGTCGTTCGGAGCATTGTCGACCTCGAAGTAAGCGCACTTTGCTAAAAGAGCCAAGATTCTGCGGATATTAACGAGAAATTCGCTTTTCGCGAGAACTTGTTCGGTAGAATGGTGCTGTATAGACCGGACAGCCGAGACAAGCTGGTCCGCTGCAGACTGTCGTCTTGAGGCTGCGGTCTTCTCATCGTCTACTCCGGGTCGCAGGATCAAGTCTTCGTATATCCCGACCACTTGCTCAAAAGACGGGTCATCCACCAGAGAGATTAGAGTTTCGACTGTCTTGGTCTTTGTAATTTTATCGAAATTGATGTCTCCGTTTACAGGATCCAGAAGAGCTTTTAGGATTGGTGCCCTGGTATTTGGATTCGATCGAGCTCTGGCAAGAATTGTCTTGATGGATCTCTCGGCAGCGCGGTGGAGGTAACGCTCTGGGGAGGCAAGCTGGTTGGTGAGACATCGCATCAGGTTTTGTGTGAAAATGTCAGAAAGTACTTTTACGGGTACGTTAGGAACAATTCGCTGAAATAGCAAGAAACCCCAATATTTTCGTTCCTCTGAGGACGAGGTAGCAAATAGTGCTTCTGGTCTCCTTAGCATAGGATCGTCTTGCTCCCAAGATTACTTACTATCAATACACTCCTCCCAAAACTCCGCAAATCTCATCCGTTTAGCGGGTTTTGCACTCTTCTGCAGGCCTTGTGGGTGAAAATCCAGCAACTCAGCCAGTACTACGTCCCACGCAAATTGAAGCTTGGTAGCCCAAGCACCATTTGTAGTAGTCTCTGACTCAAGGACACTCTGTGGCGAAGTAGTTGCGGAGGCTTCCATTAGTATCTTGGCTAATCTGGAAATGTCTTTCCGATTCAAGGGGTCCTCGTGATGCCACACGCCGCGCGGTAAAGCAATCGAAGGGAACTCTGCCTGGATCCCAATCCATATTGCTACTCCCTGGGGTGTCTTGGAAAGCCCTTTGGCTAGCAACTTGTCAATTATCAACTGAGCGTACTCCAAGTCTTTGCCCTTCAATATTTGAATGGAATTGAACAAGATGAAGCCACATTCTTCCCTTAGCCAGGGCTTCCTCTTTGCCAATTCATAGACGATGTCTAAGATGTTGGACCAAGCCTCAACTCCCATGCTCGGCTGAAACAGAATTCCCGATTTGATAATAGATTCTGCGCCAAAGAGTCGTCCAAACTGGTGATCTCGCTCTTCCTGTACACATGACGTTCAACAAGCCGACAGTAATGGGCTTATCTGGGAATCACGTACCTGGCCAGATACATTGCTGGATACTTGACTCTGATTCTTCAGAGTCTCAATCAATTCTAGGACATTTGGAAACCCAGCAACGCTCCTTCCACTTGGGCCTAAAAGTTCAATCAAGAGCTCAGTAAGGACAACCGAGAAGCCCAATCGAGCAGCTTTTCGCCCACTGCACAAGCCTCTGAGCAGCCTCCTCACAATCTCGTTGAGCTGCTCGCCCGTAGATTTGCCATCCGCTACAAAATTCGTGAGCAAAGCTTGGGCTGCTTTCAGTCGAATGTTTTCATCCACATTAGCTAGATCCTCGTAAATCTCCACCAATTGTGTATTGATAGCAGGCTGCTCTCTGCCCCTCTTCTTCGACATAATGGTGTGAGCTGGTGCTGTAAATGTCGAATATTCAAGGTGCAAAAAGTCTCAATTTTGATGATTGGCTGAAATTTTCCTGACATTGCTGACTAAGCGAAGACAGCCAAAAAAAAGCGGTAGATGAGTAAAGCCTCTGATTTTCGCGTCAGTTTTTGGTAGTAACATGGGGTCAACTGTCAACCATGACTGAGACTGGCCCAGTAAGAGCGTTAAACAGCTAAAAAACTTACTCGTTGGTGCTGCTCTGGTCGCAGTTTCGAGAGACAGTACTGGATCAACTGCCATTTCTCACCTCCCTCGCCTGCAATTCGCCTGCCATTGCCGATGTGACTTGCTTTCAACATCACAATGAAGCATATGCTTTCAACGGACATGGACAAGTTTCGGAGTGGTCAGTCGTACACTGACGCCTTGTTCGAACAAATTCAAAACGCACCTGCGGGTTTGTTAGAAGTACGAGACAATGTGCCCTGCGACCACAATTAAAGCTGCTGAAGATAGGACCCCTTAGCAGGTGGCATCGTCCGTTTCATCAATTGCAGATCCCATACCGGTCCATTGAAACATCGAGGCAGCTCAAAAGCCATGTCCTAGATGTATACTTAGAAGATGCCGTCAGCCGCTCTGTTTCAGCCGTTTGCAAGCCGTGTTTTGCCCTTTCTCCATGATTTGGAAACACAGAGGATAGACGAATCAAAAAACATCCTCAGAAACCCTCCATTTGTGCCCAGTCATCTCTGCATCTTCTGAAGATGAGAGACGGGTCTGCAATGATCAGAGTAGAAATCTAGGCCGGCGGCCAGGAGTCTATGAGTCTTACGTCTCACCTTGTTGTTGTTGCTCAGCTTCTGGGCAGTCGTTTTCTGGCTATATAAGATTGAAATATTGCCCTAACATCTCTCAACATTCTGTATCCAAGATTAAGTTTCTACTGCGTTGATCGCTGTCTAAACTCCAATTTTTTCGTTCCTCCCTCACGTTACCCAGACTCATTCATCACATCCCTACGAACACCATGCATTGCATCATCACTTCATCGAGTTCGAGCCGAGCAGCAGTCATGTTCATAACTATCTTGGCACTCTTTACATCGGTCTGTATCCGCGTAACTGCTGCTGGCAGCATTGCAATCCTTCCTAGCCCGTAGGTGTCCTCGCCCATCACATGCAATGGCTGCTAATCCATTGAATGCAGAACCTGTTTTCTAAATCTCAACTACACTGTCGCCGCTGGCGAAACATGTCAGACGATAGCCCAAAACCTATCCGTGTCAACAAACGACATCATAGCTCTCAACTGCCTGAACCCGCAGTGCACAAACCTCAGAGCCAACAGTACAATGTGAGCCAAGAACAGAAATGGTTGGATATGGAAGCTGACTATTTCCGAGATCTCTCCCTGGATGTTGCACTACCTATACTGTCCAGCAGAATGATACCTGCACTTCGATTGCCTCCCCAGCTCGCAACCTGAGCCTAACGAACTTTTACACATTCAACCCGGCGCTCAACAGCAACTGCTCGAACCTCCTCTTCGGTTCCAATGTCTGCCTCTCTCAACCAAATGGTACTCCACTCAGTCTGCCGTCTTGTTCAGCCCAGAACAGTGCCTCCAGCACAAGTGCAGGCACATCTGCACCATCCGTCGCCTCCGGCACGAATACTACCTGCCTTCCACTGTATACCGCGGAAACTGGCGACACTTGCGACAGTATTGCACGGGTGTACCACTTTACCCCCCAGTATTTCCAACAAATCAACCCATCTATTAATGGTGCTTGTACCAATATCATTGCCGGGCTGGAATACTGCGTCTCCCAGCCCTAAACCGAGTTCAACCAGTAAGGCCTCTTCATCATTGTACGGCGAGCTACAAGGGCAAAGACAAGGACCTTGCGGGATACAGCGATGTAGGGTACTTCAACTTTAGCATTAGATCTGTCTAATCGAGTTTAATATCTCAATCATGGGGTTCTTGGCCCTAAAATCCCCCGGCATCAGGAGTCCTTCGTGATCATGATGCTCCTCCTCGTTTAAATTATGAGGTCACTTTCCAAGTTCTTTGTTGTACTCGATGTTGTCAACATATAGTCATGTAAAAATCTTCGTATGCAAGCCGTGTATTGTCTTCCGGCATGAAGGTATCCTCCGACACAACTTTGCCGAACTCCCATCACACCCTCCCACGACCAGCTAGTGATGATGGGCTTTCGTTTCGAAAGAGACAATTCCGTTCAGAGATGAGCCTCCGATCAAGGTCAAGCTCCAAGACCAGCACCTTTTTGCGGCGCCGCGAAGGCACTGGCCCCTTCGAGAGAGCCTCTGCTTCAGCGTCCCCACCGGTAGGGTCCGGAAGCGCCTATAATCCGCAAGTCTCGGACAGATTCTTGAACAAAGAAATGCAAGACACAGTACCAACGGTGTTGCCAACATAAAAACACTGCTTCCCCTCTTTCATTTTTGCTTTCCTCAGGGCTCGCAAAGCCTGTCAAACGCAGTCTGCTCTACCTTACTCCAGGTGCTCAGCTCGGAAACTTACCATGGCACCCCCAGTCACGATGTATCGTTTCGGTAATCCATCTTCCTTCCCGCGCCCTTTCGTCAACCTAGCTCAGCAGCCTCACCCCCTTCCACGGCCCCAAGCTGCCGTTGTTGTCCCAACTCCCAGATCAACCAACGTTGATGATGTTCGCAGTCAAGATGGTCTCCAATTGTTGGTCATTCTTTGAAACCCCCCAGCATCAAAAGTATCCCCGCATCTGTAATATACTGATGAGGATCAGGCTGAGAAATCCTACCTCCGTCCTCGTCACTGTGGGCAATACCAAGGCCGCGACCACCTGGAGCATCCCAAAGAATCTGCTCACGCACCATTCGGCCTTCTTCAACACCATCGTCCAGGACAACAAAGTCGCCCTTCCCGAGGACGATCCAGATACCTTTGAGCTTCTCGTTCAGTGGCTGTATGCGGGTGGACTCAACACCGTGGCCACAAGATCCGAGCCGTATGTCAAAGCCTGGATCCTGGGGGACAAACTGAAATGCCTCACCTTCCGGGACCACGCAATGCTTCAGATACTCCATTGCCACAAGCGAGGCGACTTTCCCGAACGGCCAATAAGCCCAGAAAGCGTGCGACTCGCCTACGGCCAGACACAACCGGAATCGAAGCTGCATCTGTGGGCACTGGATCAGTTCAAGTTCAACTCTGTCAGGGGAACTATGTCAGGTCGGAGCGAGGAATGGGTCCCTGTGCTTGAAGAGATGCATGATCTCGAGAAGGAAACGGCACGTGCATTGATGAGATCCGGTGAGCGGGGTATCCAGAATCCGTATACACAGGGCCAGAAGTACTTGGAAGTCTTGAAGCACGCAGACTTTCGCGATCCTGTTTAGGATCATCGGGCCAAAGAGTCCAGGTCGTTTAGTGTGTAATGCTACTTCCCTCAACGGGTGCCAGAAATATCCGTACACGCCAAGAAGTCTCTCCACCTTCAGCTGAGAGATTTCGATGATTATTCTCTTCAAGGATAAACTTTTGCGGAGCGATCTATTTGTATTGATGAGGTCCTTCAATTATCTCGCAAGAACCTTCAGCTAGGGCTCTTAATTGTGAAATTATCATCGACTTCTCAATTTTTAGTGTGCGGATATTTCTGGCACCCGCGAGCTTCCATAATGATAGATGATGCTCTGACTAGAACATGAAGCAAATCTGGTTCGCCGGAGAGATACAATGCAGTACCTGATGATATCGAGTTCTTAATGACTGAATTTTACGGCTCATGGGCCGTCTATGTTTAACTCAGCCAGCGCACTGTATTGAGCCCTCATTCACTTCTTGTACGAGTAGTCATTTAACCAACAGGTTAAGCGAGCCTTCAACGACGCTGTGCCACAGGATTTTCCTGAATCTGAACTTCATGGAATCATGGGTGCAAGTTGTAACGGTAAAGCGCTAAGATAGCTCGCTTAGGTACCTTACTTTACCTTAGCCAACTACTTTAACTTAGCTTGCCTTGCACGTGATATCGGGACTCGGGTTCTCTTTAGCGTGTTTTGTGTGTTTACCAACCGGTCGCGACAGCAAATCAGAAGGTCAATCGACGTCACAGCGCCTCTGTCAAGGCCGCGAATGTTGCCGAAACCTGCTCTACATGATGCTTTCAAGCTCCATGCTTTGACTTCGCCGTCTTTGATGCAAAAAAGCTTGCTCAGACAAGTAATTGTCATGTTTTCCAGGCGTTCTTTGGCTCCGTTCTGGAGATCGGTGTGACCGGAGTTCCAAAGGAAGCGCTGGCTGATCAACGAATCAAAATGTGGGTCAATCAGAGCGGCGCGTATGGTCTCCCAGCAACAAGTATGTGGAGCCCAGGAGGCTGTCAAGCAATTGGCCCGGGTGGACCATGTGGGCTCGACTTTTCCAATTCTAGATTGACGGGATTGACGGGACGATTGCGTGACAATCATGACGAGAGATAAGGTCTGGCCGTGGCTTGGCTGGCGTGGTTCAGCCTTGTCTGAGTGTCTCGAGTATTGACCAAAAGATTTCTTCCTGTTACACTAGGTACTTACATGTACGGTATCTCTCAGACTTCCCATCATCCAACGAATTGTTTGCTTGCCCTTGAGCTTGAGCTTGATAAATCCTATCTACCTACCTACCTACTCCAAGCCTCAAGGCACCCTCTATCTCTCTGCGCCTCTCAGCTAGAAATGCTTGGCGGGAGGCCTAAATGATTCAATAAGCGATGGTTGGCCCTATCAGCTATGGAAAAGCGAATTGGGCATGTTTCCATACGGGTTGCTAGGGTTGGTGACCGGTAGCATCCTGGCTTTTGCTGCAACATCAGCCAACCCGGCCCATTGGCCTATGAGTATGCAGCATCGTCATCCTGAAAAGGATAAGCTGCAAAATCAGATCGAGATCCTTGCTTTTGAGTCTTTGGCCCACCAGGGAGTGGGTGCTTTTTTCCACTTGCAGCGCGTCCACAGCGCTTTGCAATTGCTTACCAAGTCCAGCGCTTCGCCAAATAGATGTAGAATATCCCGAGCTTTCAATTGGCCATCAGCTGATCGAAAAATATCCCAAATGAATTGGTAATCCTTCGTGTAGAAGTTCGAACCAGGATTTGGTCGAAGCTGAGAACCCCTCCTTTGAAGCCAACGCTAGTCAGCTCTGCAACCGCCCGAAGTATCCCAGCGTTGTCAGGTAAACCGTCCACTGGGCCACCAGCTTCTCAGCCCGCTTCCTCTTTACCAAGGAGTGACACCTCTTTCACTACCTTCTCACTTCTCTCCACGACATCTCCTACTCTGAACGGGGCCGTTCCTCCCCCGAGTCTCATCCTGTGGAAGTCACTTCGTTCCTCGGGAGGTCATACCCAACGAAGGAGGGACTTGGAGGAGCAGCTGCCCGCAATTTACATCGAGCAACACCATTGCATTTTCTATCCATCTTACCATCATGCCTTAGGTACAGCAGCTTAACCCACAGATTGATTCTTCATTGGGAATCTCTATCCCCAGGAACGCCCAGCACTCGCCATCTTCGACGCACCACGACCTCAGCCATTCACCTTGGACGAAGACCCTCAGTACCTTGACCCCAACGCCAATTGCTCGAACAAATTCAGCTGAAGTCACAGCGGGCACACACGACCGAGAACATGGAACAATCTTCTCCACTGGCTGCTATGCAGCCACCTTCCCTCCCATTCGGACACTGGGGTTGTCGAGGAGGAACAGAGACTTCCTACAACCAGCATCGAGGGCAATATGGAGGGCAAATGAATTTTGGGCCGTCAAGCTTCAACTTCAAAGATCTCAGCATGGCAAAGGCACCTACGGACTACTTGAATCTCAAGCCTGTACGAGGATCGTCTCCAACAGCAAGTCTTGCTGCTGACTTGTCTCAAAACTTTCACATCGACCAAAGGTGCAACAGCCTCTTGCTGCTGTTCTCCTACACTGCTGACAACTGTAGTCCGCAATTGCCAACTCCACGTCGATCACTGTTCTCCTCGAACCTATTTGGGACACTCAATGGTCGAGGTAAGATGCGCATGCTCGACTAGTAAGGCTTCGGCTAACATGATACAGAACGCGCGAGCACGCCGCCGCTCCCCTCCTCTTCGCCCGGCCCAGGGACTGACTCGATGGAGATATCACCGCTGCCCCATAAGGCCCCCTTCGTTGTCTCAACCCATGTTGAGCCTACACCGCTGACATCCCCAATGGAGGAGGTGCCATTGTCTTTGCTTGAGGATGTTATGCAAGACTCCCCAACGGAAGCACCGAAACAGCCAGCACCTTCAGAGTGAGTAATTCTTGAATTTCGGGGAAACGAGCTGTACCGATCTGACATTTACGTTAGGCGTAGAAGATCCTCCTTGATGAGACCTTCGTTGTCCCGCACTAAAGGCCTTACGACGACATCAGTTCCCTTGAAGTCTGCTCGAACAGAATGCCCGCCATTCAGATTTGGCAACGGTCCCTCCGTGCCTTCCTTGTCTTTGATGTCCACCGAGGAGTGCTTTGCATCTTCCACTCAAGGAGATGCCCGACCACATTCCGCACATTCACCAGCACCCTTGCCGATGGGCCCTCCAAGATTCAAACAACCTTCGTCCGGTCTCGGTGGGCACCTACGAAGTATTGGATCACCCATCGTTGGTCACGTCCGCAAACCGTCGAACCCTCTGCAACGTCCCCGGAAGCAGTTTCGTCGCTCTCTCAGCATGTTCGAACACCCAGGAGATGTGATGAAGCAAGAGAAGGCTGCTTTCTCAGCGGCATGCCTCGATTCTATAATGGACATTGATGATCCCCCAAGGTTACGACTGCCACACTTCAACTCGGACGAAGAGAGCCTACCTCGCATCACCAAGGATACCATGGTCGACGTTCTCGATGGCAAATACGGCCAATGTTATGACCGGTCTATCATCATTGATTGTCGATTCGAGTACGAGTATGAAGGAGGCCACATCGAGGGCGCCATGAATGTCAATGATAAAGAGCGATTAGCGACGCAGCTTTTTGAATCACCACCCCCGAACAACACGCTACTGATATTCCATTGCGAGTACTCAGCGCATCGCGCTCCTATCATGTGCGTATGCCAAGTTCTTGATCGTAAATGATGCTGACCTAATTCAGGGCAAAATTCCTACGTCACAAGGACCGGGCTTGCAATGCCCACCAATACCCAAAGCTTACCTTTCCAGAAGTGTACATTCTAGACGGGGGTTACAGCTCTTTCTACACGGATCACAAACCCCGATGCTATCCCCAAAACTATGTCGAGATGGGTGCGCAGGAACACGCTAACGCCTGCGAACGTGGCCTCGGACGTATCAAGCAACAACGTGCGAAACTGAGCAGAGCACAAACCTTTGCATTTGGGCAGCATGGACAGCAGGTAGACGACAGTCCTACCGCTTCCAATCGGCAATCTAGCTCTCTCATGACAGGATTGGACATGGCAGCCGATGCTGAGATGATTTCGCGGCGAATGCAATCAAGACGTATGGTGTCTTTTTGATTTCCGTATCGCCACATCTGTTTCAGCATCACCGTTGCCTCTTCATCATCCCTGGTACCCTCCCCTCGCTATCCGGTCTCTGTCACTGTTGCATCCATTGGCGTCTGGCATGCTTTGAAATGTGGGCCGGTGAACCCATCTCAGGTAAATGGAGCGACTTACATTCCATTGGTCGTCGACTTGTGTCACGGGGGTATTTGCATGTCATCTTGCCACGGTGGCTCCACCTACCCAGATCTTTTCTACCGCCTTATCAGCACCCGCCTGGGCCCGATACACATCCTGTTACTTCATTGCGAAGTTCGATCGCGGGTATTGTTACCCTGCATGCGACAGCCCGTCTACAATCTCTGTCACGTCGAATCCGCTCTTACCGTCCTCATTGTCTGCGACTGCGAACGCACAAAAATCCTATGCCTTTCATCGAACCTTTTCATCTATGCCTCGACTTCTTGAGCCCAGTGCTCTAGACTTTTCCGAACTCAGCCCCTTTCACGAACACACAGGGAATAGGTCTTGACTTTGACCTGTCGAAAGAAGCTGTTCTACTTCTTACTCCTGTGCTCCAACTCCGTCATGGTGGCACCTTAGTCACAATCCACCTCAACCGAGAAAGTCAATACTGAACATCACGGCTTCCTTTTCCCTTGAGAAAACCAGAAGCTTTGAGGGCTCTCTTCATCCTCGAAGAAGTAAGAGTGCGCAGCTCGGCGAGGATAGCGAGAGCATATGTTGCTGAGCCCTCGTTGGATTCCAGCATGCAGAATGGATGCGCTTGTCTTTCTACCTTGTCTAAATACCCCTGACCACCAATGAAACAATATATCATTACCTTTGACGCGCCTTGATGTGAGCCTCGTGAGTGACTGAAGACTGTAATCGTATGCGCTATTTCTGCGTAGAAAGGTAGAATTATTACCTTCGCTGTTTCTGTAGCTTCAATTCTTAAAGTGGTTACATAGTAGAGTAGTGCGCTAGGGCATTGGAGGCATGGTCTACTCTATGAATCTCCTGTTCTACCAGGGCACCACTACCTCCCCTTCAACGAGCTTGACAGCGTGCCGTCTTGAAGGTTTTGATCCAACAGCTTAATCAATAATGGGAGAACAGCAGATACAATGGATATTGACGACATTTTGGCGGAGGTAGACAGCCATGCAGTTCCCCCCGCGACTCGAGATCTACAAGAACTCACCCGAGCATGGGTTACGGAGCGAAGTGCCCCAGAAATATTGCCATGGCCGGATATGTTGATGGAGCGTATTCTGGAGAGGTTACGTAGGCAGGCATGTCGCCCTCTCCTGGACTGCAAGCGCATTGGCTGATAAAAAGTTTGTCTATAAGATTGAGCTCGTGGAAGAGCAAACGGGAAACACAGACCCCAAAGCCAACTTTCGCCTCATAATCATCCAGACCGAACTCGAGCGCTTCAAGTTCCTCGTCCGCTCATTCCTGCGCGCTCGCATTGCGAAAATCGACGCTCATGCCCTCCATCACCTCACGGACCCCTCTACCAAAGCCCGCCTCTCCCCCAGCGAGCTCCAATATGCTACAGCTCATACCTCCCTACTCCACGCTCACTATCATTCGTCTTTCCTCTCGCAGTTCCCTACATCTCTGCAGAGAATGGATGATACGGCAGGGGGGATCAGTATGGTAGAGGGACCGGATGTGGATAAAGCTGTGTTTGTGAGGGCGTTGAAGGATGTGGAAGAGCCGGTGTATGTGGAGGGGACGGATACGGCATTTGACATGCGGAGGGGGGATGTGGTCGTTGTGAGGTGGAGTGCTGTTAGGGAGGTTGTGATGGCGGGGGATGCGGAGTTGATATGATCTGAATATATGAAATAGTGCTGTTTATGTTCCAGAACAGTGCTTGCGGAGATGTGACGAAGTGGGCGTGGTTGGAAGTTTCAATGGACAGAATCAGTACGAGAGTTCTCGTTGATGGAGAATATGACCGTTAGTTGCTAAGCTGATTGGAGCCTCTAGGCATCACCCTCTGTCCCAACAAACCCAGAGATCTATCGCACCACGAAGTCCTTGCACTTCCAAGCCTTCACTTCGCGGTCCGCAGAGACCAAATCATGGTCTCCAACTCCAAGCCATCGCTTTATCTCTTCCTGCCTTCGTACAGTGCAAGCCACAGATTTCCCGGTACCGCCATAGCCTCGCGCTTTAAAGCTTTCAGACCTCCACGCATCCAGATCGCGGACACCATGCCGCAGGTAATTTTCCAAATGACCATAATCACGCAAAGAACGAGGTCCTCCGGCGTAAATTCCTCGAACCCGCCCCTCTCGATTGACTTGCTGAAGCACAGTAGAAAGCTAAGTGTCGCACTGATAAGGAAATGGGCGGTCATGGCTTTGCGGTCCTCCGTCCGATCTGTCAAGATCAAGAGGATCAAGCTGATGATAGAGCTGAGATACGCCACTGTCAAGGCGAGCGCAAGGGCGATCACCAGAAATTTGGGTACGGACTCGCCAATGCCGAGGGTAAAGATGGTCGTGATTGAAAGGGTGGTGGTGACGAGCTCGACGAAAACTATTGAGCGGAGGGGCGATATGTCTGATGTTCCTGATGATGGGCTAGCTGGTATGGCCATGCTTGCGTTGCAATCGGAGCAAGGGAAGGGAGGTGCTCCTGATGTCGATGCTGCTGCGGTTCTGTGTTCTGGTGCGGTGCCGATAGAATAGGCCGTGCCTGGGAATGTGTCCTTGCTATATACCTTTCATGTCAAGGACTATTGGAAGTTGTCGAGTTTCAGAAGCTGCTGCTTGCCGAAAACACGGCTTTGAAATTGCCCAATAGCAAACGCGATGGGGAAACCAGGTTCCAGAAGTCTTTCTTCATCCAGAAGGGACATTGCCCAAAAGAGTCCTGATTTGAGACAAAATCCGTGGGCGGTAACAAAATTTTAACTCTACGACGGCTCTGTGGAGGAATATGACAGCGACTAGAATCTATGGAGAAACCGATCAGTTGCTTCCCAGCAGGAGCGAAGCTGAAAGGCATCGCTCATGGCAGTCACATTTAACGGGCATATCTGTGGAAGCATTGAGAATGTGAGTGCATTTCAGATAAATTGCATGTCTAAATGCGACGCCTTGGGCTAAGACACTAGGTCATGATATTGAACTGATTCTTGCCACAAAAGGTTCACCTATCCTAATACCGCTGCCCACCATATCGATAGCCTTTCCCAGCCCAAAGCACGATCCCAGGTGATAGATTTCAGATGCGTCAATTGCCATGAGTCCAAGCGAATCCTTCGTTCTTCTGTCTAAAGCACGAACCCTGCTTCTGAAGATCGGTCCATGCCTCCCCCGCCGGGAGATCTGATGAGCTCATTGTGTCTAACTTGTACCCTCTCGGAGGCGTGCTGTTCGTTTTTACTCAGCACACTCGAGGCCAGACACAGTGCTTCAAAATGCAGATTCGGGAGTACAATCGCACATCTCGTGCAGCATTATACCAAACATGGCTGTTATGGGAGTCGTAGAAACAGGTTTCGAGAAAATGGCCTTCGGCGTTCGGCCAGATGGATCCGCGTTCAGGCTCTGGAGAGGTTGTTAGGCCGAGGAGATCTTTTCCGATGCCACTCTCCAACGTGGCCCCGTCGTGGCTATCTCTCCAACAAGCGCGAACGTTTTCTCGAAGCACGGCCCCGGAGAACACGATGTCGAGATCAAAGAAGCGTTGGACGATCAGATCCGCACCCCCACGGGCATTCTCTCGCATTCGTCCAAAGCCGACGTGAGACGTCTGATGGCATCTCGTTCGTCGGGTGAAGGCGATCTCCTTGGGTCGTTGTACGGGATGAGCTCACGGTCTGCGCGGCTGGCACTTGCAGAAGAACGTTCGTTCGTTGCGGCGAGAAAACTCGCCCTGCGGCGTCGATTTCCCGCTGGCTGCGTGGGTACGGCGTTCCTCGCCTGGATGAAGATCATGGAATGCCAATTCCCTGTAGAATATCTGAAGCTGTATCTTGAGTGCAAAAGCTGGGCCGGCTTTGCACTCAGTCCGTGCTCGACAAGCCCTGTAGGGGATGTCGCAGAGGGGCAGTAATTGGTTTGGGAGGTTTGGAGGAGTGTTTCCTTGGATCCTGGATGTGATGAGGGTGGTGTTGTGCCATAATATTCGTGGCTGATGATGCTAAGAGATAGCGAGGTGGGTGGCAAATAGGTTGAAATATCCACTACGCTCTTTGTTGACATGGTTTGGGTAGGGCGAAGTTCGGGACTTCAAGAGCGGATGAGAAGACAACGGTCCATAGTTTTGGGATACTGCATGCTATAATGTACGTGGCCCTCTTCTTGTACACATTTTGCTCCTGATGAGACAAAACATGAACCTTTTCGGCTTCAGTCCGCCATCTGACGCCTCGAAGCGTCAACGAATCCACATCACCAATAAGAGTACAACGCAGATGAGACTGCGACTGACCAAATGCCAGTTTATGAAGGCCTCCAGCCCGGTCACCTCGCCAGGTCCGCCAATCGCAGCCCCCCCGTAAGCCCAGATAAGAAGGCTGAAGATCCAACTCTGGAAATAATGATGGGTCAGACGTCGGCAGTAATGTTCACCCCCGGACCAACGAAGGAAGGCAATAGGAGTCAAAAAGCCAGTAACCATGCCGACGGCTATCCAAATCAGACCGGTCTGTCGAAAGTAGCTGATGTCGAGGAGGGTAGTGATGATCAGAATGAAGGATATGCCGTAGTATTCAAAGGATCGTTGAGGTTTCAGTGGGTCGGCTGATCCGACTGGTAGATTGATGTGTTCCTGACACCTAGAGCACAAGACGAAATCGCCGCTGATGCCCAAGTCGGGGACTGAAGTGAGATAGAAATTTAGTCTGGTGACGTGGATCTGGCAAAGAGAGAGCCATGATGCACGCACACTTGATTTCGCCCAGCATGGTAAGCAAAGCCTGAACTTCCTCTACCTCCTTGCACATTCCCTCAATTTCTTTCAGCTTCTTTCGTACGGATTCAAGGTCCTTTGAGGTTGTCATGTACATGCCGGTAGCTGAAATGGAGATAGAAGTCAGTCTGCTGATGCGGATTTGCTAATCAAAGAGATGTCATTGCACAAACCCTCATCCATTGTTAAGCCACCTCCCTCTTCGCAATTTTCATGCTCCATCGCTATCCCAGTCTTCTGACTCTTAGCGGTAGGTTGTGTTTGTTTCAAGGAGAACAGCGTCGATTTCTTCCAAAGAAGGTCGAGTGTTGGTGTCCTCGCCTGGTAACGGAAGGACAAAACGGGTTACGGAGTTTCAGATAGGTACACAATGTCTCGGCGCCCGACAGAGGACCTTGCGGTGGCGCACTAAGCTCCTTGAGGTTTTGTGGCCCATTTCCTTCAAATTTCGTGTGTCCTACTGCAACACTCGCATCTATCGATACCAGGGTATGGCGACCAAAGCTTGTCGTGGAGAGGCACTGATTTTATTGAAATTCCTAGAAATGTTTACTTTGAACCCTATGTTGTGTTATATTGCCTATAGTGTTGCGTGTGCAATACTTGCGACTATCGACGACAAAAAGACGGTGTCAACGGCGAACGAAGCGGGATACTCAACTCCATACCACAAATATGCGCAGAATGTTAGGATTCTCGGATCGAGGGGTTGGTTTGCCGAATGTTGAGCTAATGATACTGGAGCTTGATTGCAGAAAAGAAGAAGTGGACATTGTTTCGTCTTCACGTTCCTATCAAAGACCAAAGGCCCTATTGCTCTTCACCTGACGCCTGCCCCAGATGTCCTGATCGGAGGAAGTAAATAGGATGATGGCTTCTTACCCGGCCCAAGAGTCACCTACCGTAGGCGAATTTTCGTCTGATCAAGAACGCACGCACAAGACAGTCCACAGATGAGTCGGCACAAGAAAGAGTGCTGGGTTCTATAGCTAATGCCGGTGATTCCTCAAATGGCCTCGTTACGGTCTCTTCGGGATTGGGAATTGGAAATGCTCCTCACTTTGGCGTTGCTCGTGTGGCGCTGGAGGTAGAGGTGCAGCAAAGTAATACATGGAAGGACAGTGACAGTAGGACTGCACTCACGATGTGTTGACCTCGAATAGCTTTGGTTGCTTTCTTCGACATCAAAGCTAAGCACGACTGAAAGCCTCTTCATATGCTAAGTCGTAGTTTTCGGTTGAAGTCACACTTTCTGAAGAAAGAGATCTTGACGGAGGAAAGAAAGAAATTGTTTCTGTCAAAACCAAGATCGCAAGGTTTCAGCAACATGCAACGCTGTAGCGCTAAACGCAGGAGAGGATTCGGAGACCGTTTTCTTTGAATATCGTACCGTACCCAGTGAACTCTGCAACACTGACGTCTGCCGACGCCACAAGATCGCACAATTAAAGCCTCTTCATGACATCGTGGTGATGCACTACTCTTTGGGCACCGATCCCTTTGAATTTCGTATGTGTCATATATGTGTATTTTGTGGATAATGGCTTTGTTTACAGTAGTCGCGGCTACCGATGCCAAGAGACGGCGAGGTCATAGCTTTCGCTGTACTGGAGGGTGACAAGTGACAGGAATGATAAGTAGCGTTGATAAGGTTTCGCCTTCGAATGTGGTTTGCTGGGGTCAGTAGATGCAGCTTAGAGCGTCACAAACATGCAAATGCGTGCAAATGCATGCGTAGCTATCTGTTCTATTGGTCGGAATTTAGGAAGATGCCCGCAGCCGACTTGATATTTTACCGTAGTCCCACTTCTGAAGCTATGCTCAAAGAAGAAAATGAGCACGCGACCAGCTATTCTTTTCTTTTGAAAGCGATGAAAGTCGACGAATTAAAAATTAAAATGAGGACGAAGGTGATTCTCTATTCTCTAACACTTTGTGCAACTTGCTTGTCAAAAAGGAGCATTTGATGCGTTGAGATCCAGGGGTATTTCCGTGCCAAGCCATTAGCGGCAGCTCCCATAGCAAGGAACGCGAACGGGTTCACTTTACCCATAACTAAAAAGCTTCACCTTTTTCTCTCATGTAATTTCTAACCCCACTCTTCTCCCACTATTCCTTTGTGCCATTCGTTTCTTTCCCTAATGTACAATTGAACTTTTCCTCTGACAGCTGTTTGTCGACACACAACACATATCAAACGTTGAGCTTCTGCGCTATTCGACCAGGCAAACAATGGCAGCGCCCACTCCAGAGGGTGGTGCAGGACCGTGTGGTCGTGAAAGCTCTACAGGGACGAATCTTTCGGCTCCTCATCGACCAACAGAAGCATTGGTAAATACTCGATCTACTACGGATGTGCTCGAGGTAGCACAGGGAGACCCAAATGCGACAAGCAAGAGGCGCAATCATCGAGGTGGAAAGAAGAAGAAGAAGAATCGCCGACAGTCATTCTTGCCTGCAGCTGCAGAAGAAGAGGTGGACCCCGCGAGGTCAAGTCAAAATCTACATGAGCCTGCGAGCTCTACAACTCCAAGGCCACCTTTTTACAGGTTAGGTCAGTCCGGTGGGCGTAACTTGAGCGAGACCAGTCTTGACAGCAACGTGCTCTTAGATCATAGGTATCTACACCTATTACACTGTTGATGCTTGATCGGAGATCGAGCTGACAGACTACTGCAGAGATCACCCACCAATGCGCCAACGTAGAGAAAGCCGAGTCAACCCAAGCGCCTTTGGGAGAACAGAATCAATGCAATACAGGCCCAATCATCCCCATCGACGTTCTTCATACGAAGCTCAACATGGGCGGCCAAGACAGATCCGCGCACATGACTCATCAGGCGATGAGAGCGAGGCCAATCCTCCAGTGACAACAGATCGCACTCCTCTATTGACATCAGCCAACGGTGGAGCTTCACCGTCGCACAGGTCCGGCTATGGATTGTCTTCGGCACAAGGGCATGGTGGCCGTCGTGACTCCCAGCAGAGACGTAGTTCTGCGGCAACTTCCAGCTCGAGCAACCACCGAAGACGAGTACCGAGTCGCCAGGCTTCTCATGATATCAACAACCCGCCCTCCGTCCCCAGCAGTCCTAAGCTGGGACCAGACATGGGCTATGATGATGTTATGGTCACCGGTTCATTCGCGCCTAGATCTCCAGAAGACAGTCGTGGCCACAATCACACCAATGATCAACTAATTGACATAGATGGGGACGGCAACAAGGCGTATGTCAACTCCTCTCCACCAAAATCGAGGAATGGCTCCTACGAGCAGCGACGCCATACTATTGCTGTACCGGCTGAAGAAGATGTGTGCTTCCCTATAGAAGGCATGTCAACGATAGGAGAGGATGACTACATGAACCAAGACCAGGGCTCGAACGAGCAGCAGGGACAACGGAGAAGAAGAGCTTTCCGGTGGCCAGATTTGTCTGTACTCGACGAATGGAGTCGCGAAGAGAAGGAGGAGCGGAGTGAGGGTATCCGCGCAAAGAAGATCAGCGAGCCGGTTCTTGTTGGCGGCAGGTTAAGGCCGCAAAAACACGGGTGGCATCGCGCAGAAGAAGACGCTCCTTACAGATTCACATACTTCAATGAAGAGTTCCCGAGCACGATACACAGTCAAACTATTTCCGAGCTTTTACAACCTGGTCAAGACTTCAGGGAGCTGTTCATTCCAGATCCACCAGAGTTGAGTGATGAGTCCTCCGATGAAGAAGACGTGACGAGCCATCAAGGCACTTCGAATGGCCGAGACGAAATGAGTCCTAACACCCAATCACGGCTAGGAACAAGGCATTCGTCGAGTATCGGAGAAACTAAAGTGCAATCTCCAGAGCATTCAGGTGATGCTACTCCTTCACAATCCAACGTACCTTTGCGAGGTGAAAAACCAAAGCGGCATGGCGAAAGACCAACTTTCTGGCTTGACGTGCTTTGCCCCACAGAGACGGAGATGAGGGTCATTGCAAAGACGTTTGGAATTCACCCCCTCACGGCCGAGGATATCTTGGTGCAAGAAGCCCGCGAGAAGGTTGAGCTATTCAGGAATTACTACTTCGTCAATTACCGTACTTTCGAGCAAGACACGAGTAGCGAAGACTACCTCGAGCCAGTCAACATGTATGTGGTTGTCTTCCGTGAGGGCGTCATCAGCTTCCATTTCTCCATGACTCCACATCCTGCAAACGTGCGTCGACGCATCCGCCAATTGAAGGAATACGTAATCATGAGCTCTGATTGGATCTCATACGCCCTCATCGACGACATTACAGACGTTTTCGCGCCACTCATCCAAGCAATTGAGGAAGAAGTTGATGATATCGACGATTCTATCCTGAAGCTGCACTCTGGAAGCAAAGAAGAACAGAACGAAAAGGTTAAAGCATCGAAGAGCGAAGATGGAAAATCAGAATCTGGAGAGCAATCTTCTGGCGGTGACATGCTTAGACGCGTTGGTGAGGGCAGGAAGAAAGTTATGCTGCTGTATCGTCTCTTAGGCAACAAAGCAGATGTCATCAAGGGCTTTGCCAAGAGATGCAATGAGCGTTGGGAAATTGCACCAAGAAGTGACATCGGGCTGTACCTGGGTGACATCCAGGATCACATCCTAACGATGACCAGTAACCTCAGCCATTACGAGACGCTACTTTCTCGAGCCCACTCGAATTACCTCGCTCAGATCAACATTCGTATGAACGAGCGCCAGGAGCAGACTGCTGACGTCTTGGGAAAGTTGACCGTCCTCGGTACAATCGTCTTGCCTATGAATATTGTGACTGGTATGTGGGGGATGAACGTGATGGTACCTGGGCAGGATGCCGACAATTTAGTATGGTTTTGGTCAAGTATGTCAACCTCTGGCAAGGCATACATTCGTGATCAGATTGCTAATTACGACCACAGTCACTGCTGGTTTGTTGGTCTTTGGAACCTCATGCTTCTTCATTGCGAAGAGAGTGTACGGTATCGTCTGAACGAATACTCAAGGAAATTGCAATATGCATGGAGATCTATTTGATATTGGCCTACCCACTGCTGCATAGCGAAGGATGGGAATAGTCGTAGTAGAGTTAAGATGACTCTCCTTAGACACAAAAGTGATGAAATTTTGCCATGTCCATAAAAAAGAATGTAATAAAATTTCATGAACTTCACATTAAAGTGCGCACCTCAATCCATCAGGAACCGTGAAACCATGCACCATTCCTGATGAGGCAATCCGTAAACACTCACCCACCCCACCTCCCACCCTAACCCCTTCCCTCACACACCTCTGTTCTTCTACCCACCCCACCCCCCAACCATGGCACCCCCAACCCCCCTCTCCGTCGCCACGAACTCGATCAACCGTCTCCTCAAGGAAGAGTCGTCCTACCGCACCGAACTCGCGACCCAGCAGCGACGCGTCGAGCAGCTGCAAGCGGGCGGTGCGGACGAAGACGATGCCGGGAACACGGAATTTCGATTGAGGCAGGAGGTCAGTACTCTTCTGTCCATTGATCCTGTGGGGGGGTGATTTCTTTCAAAAGTGAAAGAAGGGTCAAATCCAAAGGGTTTCAAGTGTGTGCCGTCGTGCTGATGCAGTTGCGGGGGAACAGGAACGAGCGGTCGAGGAGACGAAGGCGGTTTTTGGACCGTTGAGGGAGCGGATTGCGTGGGCGGTCGAGAAGTTGGAGGGGGTGCTGGTTGGTTTCTTCCGTGGTCGTTTTTTGCACCGTTTCCGTCTTGATCTGTTCCGTGGGGAGGAGCGATTTGTGTGTTGCACTGTTCGCGGACAGAGGCTGATGAGTTGGGTTGATGTATAGGCGTCCGGTATGGCTGCTGGAGGACCGGAAGTCGATGCTGCAAATGATGCTCTGGTGCGGGCGAAGGCGACTTCGTGAGGATGGTTTTAGGGGGATGACACACATGATGCATGCAATAGAGCGGTGTCTTGTGGGATGGAATGCTTGAGCAAGGGTATCAAAACTACGAAGTATCCATTTGCTCTGTCCGCTGCGTCTCCGTTTGCTCATCATCCTGTTCACCTTCCTCTTTCCCATCCTCAGCGATTAGGCCTTCAACCGGTGCTGCAACGACATGTTCGGGCTCAGCAGCCAGCTCGCCATCCTCTGCCATTTCTTCATCCTCTACCGCTGGGCCGTCAACCCTTTCCTCCGCCATCTCATCCGCATTCTGCGAGCTCCGTAAAGGCGACTTGCCCCGTCCCGAAGGATCCCTTTCGACTGACAGTCCCCCGGGAGTGCCGACCTCTTGGTCCTGATTCGTCCCATGCATCGGTGTTGTCCCACCAGTCTCATGATGAGGCGTACCACCACCACTGCTCCTCCCCCTCTGATCGTCATCTCCATCCTCTCTCTCCTCCATGCCCTCCCTCCTCTCTACCTCTTCCTTCTCATCTCTGATCAATCGCCTAAGCTGCATGCCCTCCTCGATGATCCTCCCAAACTGCTGCCGCCTCTCCGACCATGTTTGCGCATACTCCTGACTCTCCGTCTCCAGGTCCGCGATTTCTGCGTTCAGCTTGGCGAGATTGGCGTGCTGATCTTCTCTCGGCCGTAGCAGGCGGTTGCTTGTGATTTTTTCAGCCAAGTCATCGTATTCCTTTCGTAACCCGAGCGTTCGTTGTGCATCTTCTAGCTGCACTCGTAGATCGGCGGTGTTGTCTCGGACCGCTTGCGCCGTGGCTTGTATCTTCAGCTTCTCAGCAGCATATCGCTCGCGTTCTCTGACGTTGCTCGTCAGGAGGAACTGTATGCGTATGATGCTGCTTTCGAAAGCGGCGAAGTCTAAGAGCGTATCTTCGCGCCATTGGCGGCGCTCGTCGAGTTGCTGTTGATTCTCGATCTCATGCGCCGCTGCTGCTTCATCTGCGGCTGAGGCATCGGGTGGTGGTGTTGGGGGTAGAGTTATTGGGGTGGATATGAGGGAAGCGGAGGAGAGGAGACGTTTTGTAATGCGCTTGAAGGGTTTCTCTTCGACGTTGAGGAGGCGGGACTTGTGTAGCGTATCTGAATGTTATGAGATTGGGGGTTGAGCATGTCAACTGGGAAACTCACCTTCTTCAGCTTGATCTAGCAATTCGTAGGAAGACATGGTGCCGATTGTTTTCGACCTGTAAAAGGCTATCCTGGGCGCTGAATCTGCGACACTGAGTCTTGTTACTTTACTTTGTGAACCTTTGGCAGGTGGACGAATCAGAGGGTCAGCTGTCAGGAGCTCGGGAGATCCTCGGGATCTCCCGAGGTTAGTCTAAATCAAGATCCACTCGGCCTATTCATTCTTCTTTCATTCACGCAGTCATGCTTGATACAAAACTGAATTTGAATAGCCTTCCTATATTTTAAACCAAATCTCTAGTTGTTCTTTTCTCCAGTTACTTCTCGAGTTTATCGTCGCAATGCCTCCGTCATCGCTCTTCAGGATGGCCAGCAGGGCGTGCATAAAGAATATACGATGTAAGTCAATTATCGTGATGCATACAGTCTTCTGCTAAAAAGTGATAGCAATTACCGACGTTGGAGATGCGCCCTATCAGATCGTTCGATCCGTTCTTCTCCGTCTTGAGAACCCCCAACAACTCGTAAGCATAATACTCTTCCCGGGCTCCTCTGTCCTATCAAGCTGATTATCACTTTTAGAGAAAGATAGAGTTAGCATCACCCCAAATCTGCGGCCAAGATGGCGAGATCTGGCTGGAATTTATCAAACGCGATGTACCGAACTGGGACAAGAAACCATACGAACCAGAGAACCCTAAGAAGTGGTACAAAGCATACAAAAAGCTCGTCATGGACAGCCAGGAAGAGGTAGAGAACGACGCTGCAGAATTGAAAGCTACCCTGGACCGAATCAAACAAGATCAATCACTGCACAAGGCCCAACAGGTTGAGCTTAGGGGTGTCAAAGTCCCCGAAGGAATGAAGAGCAATGGCCCGGTCATCAGCCTCTCCACGATGCCACGATTCTATGACAAAGGAACCAATCCTCCACCGGGCGAGAGGCAGCGTAAGAAAGACGGAGACGCCAAAGTCTTCGTCAGTAACAAAGGTAAGCTGGACCAGTTCCGAAAGGAAGCCAAAGCTATGGGCCATTTCCAGAAACCAGCAGGACGCCCTGGAATCTTCGCCCCTAAAGATATGAAGTTGAGACCTGCGCCAATGAGCAGGACGATAACCGCTGCACCGCGCATACTCATAGAGGAGCATCAGAAAGCTGCAGCCCCAAGCGCATTCGATCCCTCTGCCAAGCCACCAACAATCTTCGCTCCCAAGAGGAAGCGAGTAGAGCACAACGAGACTTCCCAACCAGGTATCCTGACTTACGAAGAAAGAGAGAAGAGACTCAAAGCGTTTACCAACCCCTCAAGCGTCAGTAAATCCACTCTCAACCAAGAAGCATCAACCCCAATATCACCTCAACCCAAAGCAAAGATCTGCTCATCCACCGCGCCCGATATTGCCACATCGCCTGTACCGAAAGTCCAAGCCACCCCTAGTTTCTCCTCCACACTGAAGCGCAAGGATCGCGCCTCACCAACCCCTGGTCACGGGATACCAAGGGCAAATACCTCCAGCCCCAGCAATGGAGGCATTCGCCCAGCAATGCATATGAAGAAGGCTGCTGTCGACGTGTTCATGCCAGCGAAACGACGGAAAATTACTTGAGCGACTCCCATTCGAATTCTGGGAAATTTTTGCTTTTGAGCGTCGTGCTTGGGGCGTTACAATTTGCATCGATACGACTGGAGCTTTATACATTGGTCGTTTGACACCACCGAATACTATCCGCCTTTTGCCTGAATCGTTGACACAATTCCGTTGTCGTGCGTTCATCGGCTGAACACCATGACACTTTGCTTGATGCCTTCATAAACCCTCCGCGTGCTCCACCTTGCTTCTTCTTTCTACACCCTTCACTCACACTCAACCCCAAACTTCAAAGTCAAACCTCGCTTCCCAAAACTCCCATCATCAAAACAACACCAACCAAGTCGTCACCCAAGTTTCAAACATCCTCACAGTCTCCCTTCACCGGCAAACCATCACTTCGTCAACAGCCCTTCCTTCTTCAACAACATGCCTCGTGGACGCACTGACCAGACTCGCAGCATGACTGAGCGCGAAAATTTCAACCAATCTTATCTCGAGGAGTCTGCTGCTGGTCGTCTTCGTGGCTATGATACCCGTGGATATTGCGATTCTGACCGTGGCGGGCCTCCTATTGCTGGTTCGCGTGACTACTGGCGTTATGCAAGCGTTGCTTCTCGCGGTCATGGAAGCCATCCTGCCACGAGAGAAGAGGATTCCTCAGGCTCCTCTGACTCCTCCGACGATGATTTTTTGGCGGGAGATCCCGTGGGTCCTCGTTCTGGGGGAACTCGTGGCCATCGTGGCACGGTCAGAGAGGACTACGATTCTTTTGACGAGGATTCTTTGGCTGGGGAGTCTGCTAGTCGCCGCCTTGGCGGAACTCTCGGTCACCGTAGACTTGACGACGATTCTGACGATGATTCATTGGCGGGAGACTCCGCTGGTACTCGTGATGCGGGACCTCGAGGCCAGCGTGGACAAGGGCCTCCCCGCTCCCGTGGAACCGGTCCTCGATACGCGGATAGATACGCGGATAGATACGCGGATACTTTGATTGAAGAGTCCGCCGACGATGAATCCGACGATCATCGCCGCGGCACCCGAGGTGGAGTTGCAGCCTCAGCTCGTTATAGTACACCCTCGTCTCGTCGTCGAGAACTTTCACCTTCCCCCCGTCGGGGAGGGATGTCCCCCGGCGGCCGTGCAGGATCAGTCGATTCTTTGGAATCCGAGGCCGAGCTAGGTGAACGCAATCCTGGCCTTCGTCACTATGGAGGTCAGCGCGCCCCTGTCTCACATGGGCGCTACGACGGCGGTAGGGACTCGGCTCGACGCCGCTATTGAGCAGTGGCTCTCTGGGAGGAGCTGGCGAGGGAGTGGAGCGCTTCTAGAGCGCTGTGTTTGAGTATTGCTCGATAATGAAATCAGATATAGCCATGCATCATTTTATTACAGTGACTTTGTGATTTTCAGCTTCGGACCGTTTAGGGCACTCGGCGAGCATATGCCTGAAAAAGGCTTTGATAAATAGATCCGGTAGAGCAGTGCAATGCATGCATTCCGAGTCTTGCGAATCGCTTCCGCCTCATCTCTACCACAGCACTCATGTCGTCGTAACGGGGGTCCCTCGTCGCCTCCCCGTCCCGCCCGTCGCCCGTCGCCCGCCTCCCCATCAAAGGCATCCTCCCTCCCCGCCGCCCTGTTTCCCTAAAACCCGCCCCGCAGCGCCAACACCAGATGCAACGTCGCCCCGCCCTCGAGGCTGTACTCCGACGCCATCTTGTCGTCCGCCCTGAGCGCGCGCAAAACGGGCCCCCGTCAGCGCCCGTGGTTCGCGGTCCCCCCCCGGGCGTTCCGGTGTGGGCGTGTGTGGGGGGACTCACATCTGCTTCCCGCCGTAGATCAACCGCTGCTGCACCGGCGGGATCCCTTCCTTTTCCTCCACGCGCTCCTTGATGCGGGAGACCTAAGGCGAGAACGGAGTTTGTGTCAGCGCTGTTGTTGTTGTTGTTGTTGTTGTTGTTGTTGTTGTTGTTGTTGTTATTGCTGCTGTTGCTGATGATGATGCTGGTTGCTTTGGGTGCTGAGGTGTTGGCATGGTGTGCCGCGCGCTGGGCTTGTGGACCGGCGGAGGTGTGCTGTACGTACCTTGTACTCCGGCTCGATGTCGAGCTCGATCTCCTTGCCGGTCAGGGTGCGGACTCTGGAATTGCGCCGGGTGTTAGCCGGTGATGCTGGGGGTAAGGCGGGTTGGTGATGGGGAAGGGGGGGTCGCACTTGATGTTCATGGTTTCTTGTGCTTGGGTGGTTGTGGTAAGGGGGGGGGATGTTGGTTGAAGATGGAGAGGGTTGGGAAAGCTTGGGGTTGTGAGGCGTTCGAGGGTGATGGGGTTTGAGAACGGGTGTTTGTAGCTGGTTGCAGAGTGTTGAATAGAGTCGATGTTGAGTTGAGCTCGTTGAGGTTGCAGTCACTTCCACGGACGCCTTGTAAGGCGGGTTTTTGGCGCTAGTGAGTTTGACAGTTACGCGTTCTGGATTTCTGTCTGGTATGAATTCCGATTGGATTCGATTGAGGAACCAGTCAAGTGCCAGCAACCGCAGAAAGGACTTCGTAGACTACGAGTCATCACAGTAGGGAGGACTACGAAAAGCACCCTACCCCGTCCTCAACATACCCTTGCCCATGAGCCTACTTCCATCTCATGGTGCATATTCCCGAGAGACGCAGACGGACTTCCAGATTCCCTTTCTAATCCCCAGTATTGTCTTTTTGATGTGGACTACTGGGGTTCGCTTTACGGGATTACATGTTGCGGAGTGCATGCTCGGATGGTAGGAGGGCATCCAGCTCGGCCACGGAGAGCACCGCTGCTCAAGCAGATTTACGGTTTAGGAATATTTGTCCAATCATCGCCCTTTTGCTGCACGTTCGGATCTGATCCACGCTGGCATCTTTTACCAGTCGATCTCTACCCCACGTCTCCCGATCACCTCCTGTCATTCTCTTGCATGTTACCATGACCAGCATTTTCTATTTTCCAAAAAGAGATGGCTACCATCACCCAACTCCCTCGGCAGATGTGTATTGCAGGCGGAGAGGGGCTGTCGTTGACATGGGTCATCACTTTGGATTATTTTCGCTCAGATCGAGTGGGGGTGACATAGACACTGACCACCAACGGATGGTCCTCGGGCTGTTTTGCCGTTGACGTCCAATTCCAACGCTACGCTTACTTGTAGGGCTTTAGGATACAACTGATGTTCTAGAGAGTGGGAAGGGATTGGACGGGGGAAGCGTTGCAGACTGCACGTGTCTACCACATCATAACCGTTCATCTATTCCCCAATGAGGCCGTCGGACAAGGGAAATGATGAAGCTTGTAAGTGACAGGGTCCTTCGCATCTGACTGATGAAAAGATGTGAGGTGACGTTGGTGGTGTGAAGCTGCACCTTGCTGCGAATAGAAAAAGACTTGAGATGATAGAGTAGGTAGTAGCGCTTGAAGACGGAACGATGATGATTTCTTCCACCGACATGATCGACAAACAAAATTCCAGTCATGCAGCCACCAGTTGATGCCTTGGCCTTTGTCCCACTTCCCACTTTGCATTAGCATTAACGCTACGATAACTTTATATTTTCTTGGCTGTCCACCTTTCCCTTCTGCGACAATCAGCCTTGGAAAGAAAGCGCTCGAATTGGTTCTAGCGTAGAATGACCCCGCTCCAAAACTCAAATACTTGCTCAAGCGGGGTAGATCTTTTCCCTTTCTCCCTTGTGAATGAGTATAAAGGGTATAGCGTGATGGAAGGAAAGAAGGAATGCCGAGTGTCCGACAATCGACACGTAGATCTGGAAGTAGGGTGATGCATCATGCATGAAATCTACAGGCTTCTTTCCCTACCAAAACTCTGACATTGAACTAATTGACTGGGGTAGCTACTCAATAGCTCTCCATACCTCTCAATAAGCTCCCAAATGAACCCTTCACATTCGACCCAAACTCCCCACATCATGACATCTTGTTCCGTTTGCCCCACGGAACCGCAGCACACATCCCTACCTAAACTCATCAAGTCGCGCTATTTACTTCTGCGTCGGCGCACGGCTTGAAAAAAACAAAACCAAAAAAAATAAGAGTTCACAGAGGCGAGCCAAAGAGTGGAAGTCAGAGTATGGAGCACGGAGATGGAGGGAAAGTATTTAATCCAAGGGTCCCCCTTAAGATCAAGTGGTCAAATCACTATTCATCCCATTGTCTCATTGACACACGAAGACATTATTGAACTGATACAAGTAGCTCCTCTGAAACTTACCAATACAAAGCATGAAGCTCTTCACTACCTCCGCAGTGGCAACGCTGTTGGCAATCACAGCCATTGCCCACCCTCTCAAACGTCAAGCTGCTGTCACCGACGTTGACATCCTCCAATATGCCCTCACCCTCGAGCATCTCGAGAACACCTTTTATAAGGGCGCCATTTCAAGCATGTCAGAAGCAGACTTCATGGCAGCCGGCTTCAGCTCGGCGTACTACAACAACCTCAAGTACATCACTCACGACGAAGAACAACATGTCGAGCTACTCTCCTCCGCCCTCATGGCAGCCGGCCAAACGCCAGTCGCAGCCTGCACATACGACTTCCCGTACACCGACCCCAAATCCTTCGTCACTCTCGCCTCGGTGCTCGAGGGCGTCGGCACATCCGCCTACCTCGGTGGTGCTGGTCTCATCACCAGCAAGGCCTACCTCGGCGTTGCAGGCTCAATCCTCGTCACGGAATCACTTCACACCTCCGTCCAACGATTCAACCTGGGAGAAGTCGCACCCGCAAACCCATACGGCACCGCACTCGGTCTCAACCCCGTCTACACCCTCGCCGCAGCGTTCATCACGTCCTGCCCGAGCACCAATGCCGCCCTTCCCGTCATGGCCTTCCCCACTCTGACCGCGACCCAGGGCATTCCCGCCGCCGAGAACATGACCTTCACCTTCAGCGTGAAGGGCGCGCTTCCGACCACTTTCTACGTCGTCTTCGTCAGCGGTCTGAGTACCACGTCGGTTATGCCGACGATGCAGGGGGACATGATCGCCGCCGTGATCCCGCCCACTGCCATGGGCCAGACGTATGTGTTCATCTCGAAATCGATGACCAATGGGACGATCACGGACGCCATGATCTTGTACGGGCCCGCTGTCATCGAGGTGACGCCGCCCGCTCCCACGTTCGATCTCTCCGAGCATTGAGAAGGTCCGCCGGTTGGTGAAGAATGAGATGGTTGGTTGGATGGATGGATGGGTGGATGTGCATAGCTGCCGATGTGGAAAAGCGGGGGAGTTCACATGATGTATGGCCCTTACGAGACAAGCATGATACCTCTGTACGGAGTACTGTAATTGGATAATCAATAATAGCACAAAGCTCTTAAACCAAACACTAGACCCCCCCCACCCATTGCCTTTTGTCGTTGAAAGCACCCGAGAGATATGACAGTGATGACATTCAGACTACATTCTTTTAGTGCGCTGCTAACAACCAGGCTCCAGCCGCCAAATCGTGTGCCGCTCAAACAAACAAGTCGATGCGGAAATAGCCACCCAATACGTCACTGCCCTTGGCTGCTCCCTCGAACACGACGTCCCTTGTCCATTTAAGGATGCAGCAGCCAATCGTGACGATGGCAGGCAAGTGGCGATCCGGAACGTATTAATATCTGCCTCCGAAGAGGTTGGTCGGAATGGTGGTGGTGATGAGGCCATGCGGAGTAAGTCAGTGAGCGTTTCATCCATCGGTGGCTGCTTCCGATCACGAGTCGGGTGTTCTCATGGTTCCATCCGTAGCAGGGAGTGATGGGCTGGGGTGGGGTTTTCCGAGATGTTGGTCGTGCGGATGCTGAGAGGATGAGGAGGAGGAGAAGAAGAAGGAGGAGAAGATTCGGTGTGGATGGGGCTGGCGAGGGGATTGATGCTATGTGCATACTTGATTGGTGCTTGTCCTGAGTTTAGTTGAATTCCGGTTTGATCGCAGCGCCAAGTAAGCACGGTTCATTGGGTTTGTCGAGGCGCCGCTGCTCAACTTGGGTAGATTTTGAGAAACCTTGGACGGCATGGGATGAGTGTGTGTGCTTGCGAGTTGATGGAAAGATGTTCGGGCTCAAGTTCAAGCTACACTTCGCTCGACACTCGCTCAACACTTGCTCAGGGCCCTATCTGGCTCAACGAAGCTTGATAATACGTGTTGAAATGAGTGATGCGGGGGGTGCCGGAAGGCAGTCTTGAAAGTCATTCATTTGTTGCCACTGACCAAGTCGTCTCTTGACACCCGATAGCCGCGAGTGTTGGCGCGCAACAACACGGTACGTCTATCGGTGGGAACAGCGCCGAGAACGAACCTCGGATGGCGGGATGCATTACGGCCACGTTATCGTGATGAGGAGGTGTCTTGCTTGACTTCCATATCAATGTAGTCAGAAGCGGCCGTCCCCAAAATGCGCGTTCAAGCGCCATCCATTCGTCTTTCTAAAGCCTGGCTTAATGGTGGGGAGGGCCGAGGCGGTTGCTCGTTTAGTCTTTCCGAATGCCTTGGGTTCACGCCTGTTCGAATTCCCCGTTACCAGCTCCGAACCGAAGGGAATAAGCCTAGTTCCAAACGTCGTGATGGCAGACCGCGCTGCCGAATACAGGGGCGAAGCATTGCGATCTAGGTCCTTCACCCAATGAACTCGCATGTTGGCAGCTTATATTCCCTCAACGACCAGTACCGTCTCTTCACCCCTTCCCACTCCTCCTTCTCCATCTCTGGCACCTTTATAGTATCCCATTCTGTGTCAAATCCTGCCTCAAACAGATCCATCTCCAAGACTTTCCCGTAGACATCGTAACAGATCTGTCGGTCTGCACCATTTCGAGTCAGCCTGTCGACTCAGAGATGAATTTGAAATTCACAGGACACGTGTCTTGAGACCAAGAATGAAGGACTAAAAAGGGAAGAGTCACTCGAGAGCCTTCTTACCGGCTCCAAGTCCATTAAAGAAGCCAAATTTTCCACCATCATCGAGTAGACCGATGATGCAATCACTAAAAAAGTCACGTAAAGCTTTGTAATCTTCGGCAAAAGTATCGAAGTAGATGGCGTCGAAGAGGATGCCTTGATCAATGATCTTGGGGACGACGTCCTGCCATCTGCCTTCATGAACGGTAACATTTGGCTTGTCGTACCAGCCGTCCTTTCTCATCCGTTCTAGGACCCCAGTGTGGGCCTCGATAATGTGGTGAGCGCTTGGGCTCTTGTGATGGAAGAAGGTGTCGATGATGCCCAAACCGTGACCTATGTTGAGTATACGCAAGCCCGGTCTGGGTACCAGGAGGTCTGCGCTTCGCTTCATTAGGTCCGTCTCCCAAGCCATCATCACGCCGTTGCCGGCGCTATCGAGTATACGTCCGTCTTGAAAGCGGAGAGAGGACTGTAGGTAGTCTTCGTTGCTGATCTCTGGAGTGTCCTCCCCATTGCCGTTGAGGTCCTGTTGCCGATCATTGCTCGGAGTATCTTCCTCGCCATCCTTCTTGGTTTCTTCATCAGACCCCTGCTCTTCATCTTCCTCGTCATCGTTTCCCGCCAACTGTTCATACTCGTCCAGACGGCTGAGTAGCATCTCTGCCCTGACTCCAGCATCAACCATTATTTCGTAAAGCTCTTTCAGACCCAGCCGCAATGCTAAACATCCCGGCGTTTCGTTATTTTTATCAACATCATTCCAAATGGCCCCGTTTTGAAGCAAGAGCCTCATAGTCTTTGCTGCGGCCTCCACGTCTGACCCTGCAGTGCTGCTGTGGTCCCCATTCGCGGTTCCATTGACATGCCCGTTACGATCTTCCCGATCGACTGCGCCGTTTGGCGGAGGTTCGCAAGCTGCAATGGCAGCATGGAGGGGCGTAAAGCCGGTTTCTGGGTCCTGAACACTGGCAGATCCTGTGCGGAGGAGAGTTCGCAGGGGCTCGATGTTATGCGACGACGCCGCCAGGAGGATTAATCGGACTTGTATATCCGGATCTGCTTCCTGTGCAGTCTCAGCCTCCATAATTATCTTTTACAATTATGGACCGATGATGGACTCATAGCTGGCAAGCCATAAGAAATCCACCCCACTCCCCATCAGATCTAGCGCATAATATATATATAAGATATTTTAATTAAGATTTCTATATTTAGAAGTAGATATTTTAATTATTATTCTAGTTAATAACTACGCTAAATTAATAAAATATAAAATTAAATATAATTATATTTTATTACTCTCTATATATATAAAAGAAAGCGAGCTATATTTACTAATAATAAGAAAAACTTATCTTTCTCTAATACTAGTTACGCGAAATTCGCTAATACTTTATAATTAAAATCGTTAATAATAGTTTTATATATCTATTATATATTTTCGATATTATTATTTAATATAAAATTATACGTATTATAATTATAGTTTTTCTATTAAATTATTAATCTAGAAAAATTAATATATCTTTTAATATTCTCTTAAAAGTATTATAGCTTAATATAATAAGCTATATTTTTTTAAGCTATCTTTTTATAATATATAAAAAAAAGATTAAATATAGAAAGTATATAAAAGTATATTTAATAATTCTAGAATAGATTAATAATATTTATAATAATAATTAAAATTAAAAATTAAATATACTTAAATAAGAGATAGCTTTACGTTACTTATATAATAGCGATAATAATAACTAAAATTAAAATATTGATTTAGATAGTATAGCTTTCGTAGTAAGCTTTTTATTATTATACGCTAGATTAATTATATATAAATAAAGATTTATAATTCTATCTTCTAGATATAATCGCGTTTAATATTTTAAGATTTTTATAATAGCTTAATACTTATTAGTTAACGCGTTAATATTATTATATTTAAGCTATAATAGCGCTTATTATTAAATTCTATATTACGCTCTTAAGTAGTTTAAAAGATAAGATCTACTTAATTATCAGCGCGTATAATAAAATTATTCTTAATATTTATATCTTATTTAGCTTCGATATTATTTATTTTCTCTTAATTCGAGCTTTTATCTTTATTTATATATATAATAATTCGCGCGATAAGCGAAACTCTAAACTTCTTTATAATTATACTCGCGTATTTTTCTTATATAATACTATTAAAATATAAGTCTACTAAAATAATAATTAGAACTAGAAATTATTTATCGCTTATCTATTATATTTTATCTAATTTACTTAAGAGTTTACTTCTATTATAATAATAATATATTAATATACTTAATTTTATACTTTTTAATAATTATAATATAACTAATAATTAAAATATCGACTTTCTTTACTTTCTTAATTAGTTTCTTCTTAAATATAAATATATTTATTCGCTATCGCGATCTCTTAATATTTTTATTTTAATTAAATTTATTCTTTATTTTTTATTTTAATTAAGAGTTTAATTATCGTCTAATTAATTTATATTAAAACTTTTTAATATCGCTATTATTATTAATATTTAATATTTATTATAATAAATTATTAAACTTAGTCTTTTTTATTTTAATTATTATAAAAAGATAAATTAATAGATATATATAAAAGAATTAGAGGGTTTATATAAATATTTATAAATATTAAGCTATTCTTAGTTTTAATTAAAGCTCGTTTTATTAAAAAATACGTTAATTCTAGTAAGTATCGATATTAGAAATAAAGAGGATATATATTATACGCTATTTTAAGTATATTATTATAAAGTTTAATTTAAAGAATAATTATTTTTATAAAGATAGTAAGACTTAAAAATAAAAAAGTAAGAATAAAATATATAAAAATTTTAATAAGTTATAGTAGTTTAGCGTTAGCTAAATTAAATAAAAATAATTATTTATTAACTCGCTCTTTTAAATCTTTTATCTTTTAATTTATATAAACTATAATAATAATTATAATTATTATAAAAATAGCTAAGATTATATTAGATAATAGTACTTAATAAATATAATTCGCTTAAATTTAAATCTTTAAAATTAAAAAGAAAATATTTTATTAATATCTAATTTAAGCTAGATAATTTAAAATAATTTAAAAATTTAATACGCGTAATAGATATCTAAGCTTTTCTTCCCCTCTTCTTTCTCTCTAAAACTTTTTTTTTTATATTAATTCTTCTTATTATTAGACTATCTTCTTTATATATTAAATTTCTATTTAAATAATCTAATATTATTATAATAATATTAAAAATATAACGTAGCTATTAAGCTATATATTTATTTTTTATCTTTTAATAACTTTAAATTAATATATAAATAGATTACGCGAAGAGCTTAATTTATATATACTTAATCTATTATTAATAACTTTTTAAAAAAGTTAATATTATTCTAGAGTATTAAGCGTAGTATTAAAGTAAAATCTTTATTAAATATTATTATTACTTTAATCGCTATCGTTATTATTTTAATAGATATTATTTTTACTTTAATAGATATTATCTTTACTTTAGTAATATTAAAGCGTTAATAAAAACTAGATAATATATTCTTTTAATTATTATTATATTTATTATATATAATTAACGCGAGCTATAGCTTAAGCTTTATATAAGATTTATTATTATTAAAAATTAATTAATTTTATAATTCTAAAGCTTCTCTTTTAATATTTAATTCGTTAAATTATATTTAATTAAGATTTATTAAAACGCTATTATATTTAAAGATTCGCTTTTAAAGTATTATATAAGATAATAAAAATCTTTCTAATTCGTTAATTTAAGAGTAAATCTTTTATTATTATACTTTATAATTAGCTTTTATAATTTCTATTTAAATAGATATTTATCTTTATATAATATATAAAAAGTAAATTATATTATAAAAAAAGAATTTAAATCTTATAATAATCTTAGCTAAGTCGTTTAAAAGAGGAAAAAAAAATATATTTATTTTTAACTATTAAATTAGTTAATTATTATAGATATAATTATAAGATATAATTATATATTATTAATTATTTTAGTAATTATAAGAAGCGTAAGAGAAATAAAATTATATAATTAAGTACTTATAAACTTTCCTCTTCTAAATATTTATTTTAATTTAGAATTTAATCGCTATTTAATTAAAAAAAGAATAAAATATAAAAAGTATATAAAAGTATATTTAATGATTCTAGAATAAATTAACGATATCTATAATAATAATTAAAATTAAAAATTAGATATACTTAAATAAGAGATAGCTTTATATTATTTATATAATAATAAAAGTAATAATTAAGATTAAAATATTAATTTAAATAGCGTAGTTTTCGTAGTAAGCTTTTTATTATTATATATTAAACGAGTAAAGGCCTATGAATTAAATTCATGGAGTTGGATTTTTTATTTTTCTAAGTCAAATGGAGTTGGATTTTTCTAAGTCAAATGGAATTTTAGCCCTAGCCCTAAGTTAAATCGAACTCTAATCGCTTGCTGTGCGTTTTTGACCTACTTCCACCACTACAAAATTAATTTAATCTATATGATATATAGATATATATGTGCGGAGAGAGGCGCGCTAAGGCCTAATGAGGAAGGTGTATCGAGTGTAGAGAATTAATTTATAATAATTGCCTACAAAAAACAGAGAAAGGCCATGTCCTTATGGCAAGAAGTATCGAAATACCGGAAAGAAATGGAGACAACGTGCCAATTAGTGGTGTGAATCCCACAATATCTCCTGCCGCAGTGAAATCTTTCGAATAATGAAATAGCTGTAGACATCGAACGGTTTCAATTCGTCCAAATATGCATCGTCCGATGTTCCTCCTACAGAGGCCTAATTGACTATGATCATCGCAGTAGATCCTCCTCTTGTGAGCGAAATACCGGAAAGAAATGGAGACAACGTGCCAATTAGTGGTGTGAATCCCACAATATCTCCTGCCGCAGTGAAATCTTTCGAATAATGAAATAGCTGTAGACATCGGACGATTTCAATTCGTCCAAATATGCATCGTTCGATATTCCTCCTGCAGAGGCCCAAGTTATTGCAGTGATGTACCATATTAATGTAGTGGGGATGATAGGCCAAGTTGCAGTGGTGTTCTCCGCTTGCTGAGTGATGATTTGATGTGGAACCGTGGAGAGCATATGACGTGGGATCTTGGAGAGCTGAGCCGTGTTCTTGGTGCTGGGGGCCTTGTTGCCGCTTGGTTTCTCCGCAGTGTTCTCCATAGTGTTCTCCGCAGTGTTCTCCGCATTTGCCTGTTGTAGTTCCTCCTCTTGCGATATTCCTTCTGCAGAGGCTTAATTAACTGTCATCGTCGCAGTAGATCCTCCTCTTATGACGTTATTGCAGTGATGTACTATATCAATGTAGTGGGGATGACAGGCTAAGTTGCAGTGGTGTTCTCCGCTTGCTGAGTGATGATTTGATGTGGAACCGTGGAGAGCATATAACCTGGGATCTTGGAGAGCTGAGCCGTGTTCTTGACGATGGTGGCCTTGTTACCGCTTGGTTTCTCCGCAGTGTTCTCCGCATTCGCCTGCTGTAGTGACTTCTCTTGCACTGGCTGAGTGGATTGGTGTGAGACCGTGGAGAGTAGGCCTGTTGTGTCACTGCTGCTGATGACTATCTCCGCAGTGTTCTCCGCAGTGTTCTCCGCATTCGCCTGCTGTCGTGACTTCTCTTGCCTTGGCTGAGTGGATTGGTGTGAGATCGTGGAGAGTAGGCCTGTTGTGTCACTGCTGCTGATGACTGTCTCCGCAATATTCTCCGCAGTGTTCTCCGTATTCGCCTGTTGTAGTTCCTCCTCTTGCTCCTCCTCTTATAGAGTATTAGACTAAGTGGTTAGCTGAGTGGCTGACTGAGTGGATGACTGAGTGACTGGCTGACGATCTAATTGAGTGGATTACTGAGCTGATAGGGTAGGTAGTGTTGACTAAGCGGCTGGTCGAGTAGTATGTAGGGGAGGACGATAGCTGTGAATCCGTTCGGGCTCTTTTTGAGGGCCTTCCAACGCGTTTATGAGCAGTAGTAGGTAGCTGTTGGGCTCGCTTGCGGCCTCGATTGCTAGCAGTAGCGGATTCGCGTCAGTAGGGGCTCTAAGAGGCGGGTAAAAGGGGTGTACGTGCCTGAAGCGTTTAGTAACGTTTCCGCGAGGGGTATCGAGGACGATTGTGTTCATATTGGTGGAATTGATAGAATTGGTAGAGTGGTGGAAGAATAATGGTTACACAAACAAACAGGTGGAAGGATTATTATCCGATCCCGGACGCGTTTGGTGTGACTACCATATTTGAATGTCCATTTAATCCACCAATAGTAGGTCAAACTTCGAAATTTTTACATCGTTAGAAAGCGTAAACTGAGCTCTATAATTTACGAAATTATGAAGTAACAGCATCCGTAGGGAGCTGGTTATTTCAGAGTGTAAAACTTCTACATACAAATTTTTGATGAGGGAGCTCGGGAGGGCTAGCGGGCTGACTTAGCCGGTCTAACTAAAGAGCGTAGTAACCCTGAATTTATGATTGGCTGCACATACAAATTCAAGGTTTTGTAGCTCAGCCCTACCTTATTCTATTATATATACTGATTAAATATATATTAATAAAGATTTATAATTTTATCTTCTAGATATAATTGTATTTAATATTTTAAGATTTTTATAATAGCTTAATATTAATTAGTTAATATATTAATATTATTATATCTAAACTATAATAGAGTTTATTATTAAATTTTATATTACACTTTTAAATAGTTTAAAAAATAAAATTTATTTAATTATTAGCGCGTATAATAAAATTATTTTTAATACTTATATTTTATTTAGCTTTAATATTATTTATACTCTTATAATCTAAGCTCTTATCTTTATCTATATATATAATAATTCGTATAAAAAATAAAACTCTAAACTTTCTCTAAATTACGCTCGCGTATTTTTTTATATAATATTATTAAAATATAAATCTATTTATTAGAATAATAATTAGACTTAGAAGCTACTTATCGCTTATCTATTATATTTTATCTAATCTACTTAAAAGCTTACTTCTATTTTCTTATTAAATCTATTAATTAGATTAAAATCTATATCTTATTTTTATATAAATATCTAATCACGTATTAAATAATATTTTATTATTTAAGATTTTTAAATCTAATCTAACTAAGAAAAGAATCTATTATATAAAAAATTATAAATCGCGATATATATTTTTATAGCGATAGAGAATTCTAATTATCTTTATAATTATTATTATTTAAAGATAATTATAATAGCGAAAAATATTTATATTCTTATTTTTAATCTAGAATTAGAATTATATAACTAACTTATTAAGATTTTAGATTTAAATAATTTATATTTTTATAGAAATATTTAGATCGCTTAAATATATTAGTAATATTTTTATATATTAATTTAATATTAATAAGCTTAATAGTTTTTTATATCTTTTTACTCGTCTTATTAAATATAAATCTATATTTTATTATATTATAATTCTTAGATTACTATCTAGCCGATTCTAATAATAATATTTATTCTTTTTTATTCTTAAGCGCTTATATTATATAATTTCTAAGAATTATATATTTTATTCTAATAAAAAATATATACGAAGAAAGAAAATAGTAAACTTTTTTAAATTTTATAATTTAAGATTTTTTATAAATAAGTTTAATATAAATAAGATTAATATATAAATAACGAGTCTATTTAAATATAGATTAGAATATTAAAATTAAAATTAATATAAAAAAAAATTTATATTAGTAAATATTATTTTAGCGATTCTTTTCTAAGAAAATTTTTATAAATTATATAAGACTCTCACGTAATAAGAATAAATATTCTTTTAAGAGTTTATTATATCTTTGAAAATTCCTAGATATTTAATCTTCTTTCTAATAGATTTAATTATAATTTATTATATTCGTTATTATAGTAAAAAGATATCGATAAATACTTCGATCTTTTATATTTATATCTTATTTATTAATATTATTTAAGAATTTATATTCTTTAAAAGAAGTTAAAAATTTTTAAATTGCTTAATTTTTTAATTAATAATATTTAACTATATATCGATAATTATATCTTTATCTTCTTTCTTTATATCGAGTTACTTATCGCGCTTTATATTAATATTCTTAATAAAATCTAGAATTAAAACTATATCTAGCGAATTTAATTATTTATAGAATTTATTATCTTCGATATAAAATGTAAAATATTATACGTAAATATTAATTATAATATTAAAAAGATATTAAAATAATTATAATAATAATTAGAATTTATAATAAGTATATTAATTATATATAATATATTCGATAATCCCTTTTTTTTATTTTCTTTTTTTCTTAAAAATAACTATTTAATATTTTAAAAAAGCTAGAAGTCTTTTTTTAACTATTTATTTCGCTATTATATTTATATTATTCTATTTTCTTAAAATTACTCTTAATAGTTTATATATATTTAAACTTACTAAATATTAGCGCGACTTTACTATATTCTTATTTCTAGAATATTTATCTACTATTTTTTATATCTTATTATTATTTAAACTTTTAAAATATTCTTATTTCTTTAAAGATAATATAATAAGATAAATTAAAGCTATTATCTTTATTAATAGTATTAACTTTTATAATATTAAGAGATAATAAAAAGTACGTAAATTTACTTATTTAATTAAATTCTTATTTAAAATAATTATAACGATAATTTTCGTATAAAAAGCTTACTATAAGATATTAAAGAATATATTATAAAGAATATATTAGTATTATAATAGAAATAATAAAAAAATTTAAATAGAATTATATTACTATAGAAGATAATATAATTAAAAAGAGTATTAGAAAAAATTAGAATATAGAGAAATATAAGAACGCGTTAATTAAAAAATAGGCTAGTTTACTAGCGCGTTTTCGCGTTTTTTCGAATTCTTATTTATAAAGAAATTTAATACTAATTTTTAATATTATAAAGTTAAATTTTAATCGAATTTTTTTAAATTTAATAATCTAACTAGAATAGTTAAAGATTATTATCGATAATAAACTTTTCTTAACTTTTATATAATAATAAATATCTATTTTAAGCTTTTAAGAATTTAGATCTAAAAATCTTATAAGATAAGTTTATCTTTTTTTAGATTTTATTTTACACTTTTAATTTATTATACGTATTTTCTCTTTTAAAGAATAATTAAAAAGATAATTAGAATATTAATTAAACCGCTTACTTTTAAAATACTATTTATTCTATACTTATATTTAAAAAGATATAATAATAAATATAAATACTTCTAATTAAGAATTTTTATTAATAAATTTTTAATTAATTATCTAATTTTTTAATAATAAAGAAATATTAGATTAATTAGAAGATTTTTAAAGCGATTAATTAGAAAATTCTCGAAGTAGTTAATTAGAAAATTCTAAAGATAATTAGTTAGAAAGTTCTTAAAGTGATTAATTAGAAAGTTCTAAAGATAATTAATTAGAAAGTTCTAGAAGTAATTAGTTAGAAAGTTCTAAAGATACTTAACTAGAAAGTTCTAAAAGTAATTAATTACGAAGTTTTAAAAATAATTAAATAATAGATTTAAAGAGTAATTTATTAGTAAATTTAATTATATTAGAAAAAGAAGAGATAGACTTTATTATAAAAGAAATTAAAAATTAAAAACTTCTAATATATAATAAGAATAATAATATTATAATCTAGCGATAAGTTTTATAATAAATCTATATAAATTTATTAATTTTAATATATAAATAATTAGTATAATTAGAAGAAGAAGAGATAACTTTTATAATTTTAATTATTATAATAAAAAGAGTTTAGATATAATCTTCTTTTTCTAATTATTATTTTAATTATCTAATTTTCTAGATTAAATAAATTTAGAGATATATTAAGAAGAATAAAGAGTTAATATATATATTCGATAACGATATATTTAGTAATAATAATAATATTCTATTTTAAGATTAGATTACTCTTTAATCTCGAGATATTATTTATAAAGATAGAAATTTTAATAATATATATAGTAAAAATATTAAAATTATAATAGTTAAAGGACGTTTATCTACGCGTAAATTATTAAAAAAGAATAAATATAATAAAAAATTTAAAAAGAGAAGATTTAATATACTTCTCGCGGCGGTTATAATAGATAAAATAGTATTTTAAATATTATTAATAGTAAAAGTAGCTAGAAAGTTAAGTAATAAGATTTTTAGAAAATTTATTATAAGTAAAAAAAGTATAAATAAGAGAAAAAACGCCGCTAATTATATATTTAAAGTAAGGAAATTATATAGATTCTACTTAGATAGTAAGTTTAGTCTTATATATACTTTTAATTATCTTTCTAATTATAATCTATTAGCTATTATTCTTCGCGAAATTAAATACTTTTAGAAGTTAACTAAGCTATTAATTTTAAAAGCTTTATTTTTAAAACTTATTTAAGAAATTTTGTTAGATATAAGAAATAATATTAAGTATTATTAGTAAAGTTCTATTATTAAAGCGATATAAAAGATAATAGAAGCTTTTCTAACTAATAATTTTTTAAATAAAACTTTTTATTATTCTTATACGAAATTCGCTAATAATAGAATATAAATATTTAATTATTAATAATTTATAATAAACGCGTAATATTATAAATTAAGAATATATAGCTTTTATATAGACTTCTAAAATTATTTAATATTAAATTATATATAAGTATAATAATAAGTTAAAAGCTTATAGTTTAGTTTAAATAAATTATTAAACTATTATAAATAATAGAATAGAAAACTTTATAATTAAATTATCGATTTTCTTAATTTATAATATAATTTTTAATTATAATATTACTTATAAGATTATATTTTACTTCGAATTCTAGTTATTTTTAAAATTAATATTATATAATAATATATTTAATTTATAATTTAAAAAATTTATATTATACTAAAGAATTAATAATTTTTATTATTATAAAATTATTTATATTATAATTATAGTTTTAATATAAATATATATTATATTTTCTTATCTAATTATTAATAATTATATATTTTTATAGATTCTTATTATTATTTTAAAAAATAAAAGATTTTATTAAAGTTTATATATATTTAATTATTATATTAATTCTCGAT